TGATTCCCTGGAGAGCAGGCAGGATTACCTCTGTAATCTCTTCTGTCACATATAGTGATGCCCCAAATCTCCCCTCGCTCTGAGGAGCATTCAAGCCGTCAGCTGGAATGAAAGAGGCCTTAACGAACACCGCGCTCCCACTCATGGCCGACTCCTCTCAGCTGTGGAGCGCCTGCTGATGGTATGTACGCTAAAGCTGGGAGATCAGAGCCCACTGAGGTGTGGGGTGAGTGTGGTTACTCCTTTTAAGAGAAGAAAAACTCACACTCGTTGGTGCTGTGTGCATGTGTGTAAGAGAGTATATGCTCTTATTCAAAAAGCTGCATTATGAACTATTACAAGGTGGTTTACAAAATACCCAAAATGAAATATTTGCAAAAAAAAAAGCTGTGAATAAAATTGTTATTGTAATGGAAATATGCTAATGCTCCAATCCCCAGTTGGAGTTAAGGTACTGAAGGTAGGAGCCCTATTTCTCTCATGCATTATCATAAATCATAGTAGGCCTATTTAGTCATTCAATACCACACTGTCCCCCAGGACCATAATCTGTTTACAGGAGCACTGCAGCTTTGCATAGTACTTTCAAATCCATACCAAATGCATTTTTAATTGGTAAATAAATGCAAAATGCATGCTAACAGGCAATTGTAGCAGTGCTCCTGAATGCTTAAATATGGTTCTAAGCATGATGTTCACATTATGGATTTTGCATCACCGTGTGTTTCCAAGGTGATTTATAATCAGCCATGCATCCAGGCTCTGTTGTAGCATAATGGAAGGTCCTGAACTGAGCTATGACTTCATCACATTTCAACATGAATATTGAGGATCTCACAGAGACTCTGAAGGAGGGCTATCAGAAAATATAAGACCAAGAGCATCAAAGTCATTTCTAGTTACTTTTCCAACCACCACCCTAAAAATATCTAAAAGTTTCTGTGCAATAACAGGGCTGTGTAAGGCTATACTAAGCACATTTAGATGGAAACAAACTTTCCTGAGTATAGTTGAACATTAATCTCAGGTAATTTTATCTCAGAGTTTACAACAGAGATTAAACTGTGATCAGACTTCTTTGAACACTTGATAAAAAAAAAAAAAAATAGAAATCAGTTCCTGTTTTGATGCACTCCGAGTTTCAGCAGAAGGACACACTTTTGAACCAAGTAACCCACCAACTCTTTGGACGTCATTATCCCACCAAATGTCATCACATTCATCATTTTCTGCCTATAGCTGCCCCGTCATTCAGTCTTTTTCTGCTGCTATGTGGTTAATTATATTTCAGCAGGAGCAAAAGCGTGCCTGAAAATGTGACTGCTGTTCACCACCCAAAGATCAAAGGTCAAGGCACAGCAGCACATGCAGGGGCGCATGATTGTGTCCCAGGTTAGGGCGTAAACATCTGTTTGATTGCGCAACGTTGAGGCGGTCTTTAGGAAACCAAACTGTTTTCTGTTGTTGCCGTGACAGAGACACTTACTTGGCTTGAGAAGACACAACTTGAGATAACATTTATGTTCAGTGAACGACTTAGAAACTTTAAATTTGTCACATCTAATGACAGATCTGCTCCCTTTTCTGACCATTCTCAACTTAAATTAAATCAGCAAATTTGAAATTTCAACTTACGATGACTTTGTTCATTTTTTAATAAACAGCAACTCCCTTTGGCCATTTTTAAACTGACAGTTGTTTTTATGAGTGTATTGACTTTACAACAATCTGTTACTGTTATGGCATGATAACACCATCCTGTCAATAACCCTGGCACAAATCGAAGAGGATACAGTCTCTGTAAATCAGGTCCAAAGTTGAAGCATTCCCTGTTATGACTTTAATGGGGGGAAAATGAAGATAGACATTTATAGAGACTGAGGAACAGGCAGTAGTTACCCTGGCTTTATAGTCAAACAGCTCATGTTGTGTCAAACTAAGAGACACTTATCAGGTTTACAAGAAATTTCATGCTGTAAAATTATGTTAGCATGACATTGTGAGAAATTCTTGGTGTTAATTTTGCAATCATCATCTTCTCATAAAAAAATGAGCACTTTTGTTTTGTGAAAAAAAGACCGTTTCCATTGAAGCGTTATTTGTAGCCATATTTCAGCCCTGTTACAGGTACAACAAAAAACAAAGGTCTTAATGCTGCAAAATATCTTTTTTTAATTTTCCAAAACAGGACGGGAAAAAAAGTCTCATAGGACACCATTTTCTTTGTCCCGTTACTGGAAACCATTAGATTGGTAAAGTTATACCTATACTTCAAATGTATTTTAGAGTACATGTGTTTTATACAGCCTCCCTGGGTATTTGCATGCAAATAGAAAAATAAACCAAAAAGAAATAATTTCACTGCACTGAGAAAAAAAGGATAGTTGGGTTTTATTTAATGATACTGAAGATCCATAGAGTCTATCTAAGAAATGCTTTGGGGAGGAAAGAGATGGTATTCTGTTTGTGTGCACACTACCAGTACATCAACACAGCCAGAGATTTAAGATACTGTTCTTATCAAGCTTTATCCCATCCTTATCAAAATATGAGGTCATACAGCCTCATGGCTGATCAATGAACATTCCTACTGCTACTGAAACAAACACAAGGGCATCCTGTGCTCTCCTCGTCCTTATCTTAACCATTGATCATGTTGTTTTCTTCCATTATTTCATCAGTCGCCAAAATCTAATACTTTCTTTGAATTTGCTTCACCTCAGTCTGAGGATAGTACAGAGGGTAGTATAAAGAGTAATATGACCCTTACATACTAATAAGAGTATGCAGGACCACTGGAGGGCATGTTACAGTGTAAACATGACTTCACGATAATGTTCCACCAAGACACAATCTGTGTCTTATCTACAGCTGTGTAAAGATGGTGTTAAACATGAGGTGCTGGTGAATGATCTACCACAGCTTATGACTGTATAGTTAACACCCAATGTCATTGTTCTAGAGTAAACTTAGACTTTATGCACTATAAGAAAGTAGTGCATTACTCTATAATTGCAAGGGTCTTGCTCTAATTACCCATCATATTACCATAACCACAGAGCCCAGTACATGGCTACACAGCAAACAGACATATCAAACTTTTCTTAAGTTATTCAACCACAATCAAAAGGACACATTTGTATTATTGAGGAATATCGAAATCACACATGGCTCTCACCAATACTATCTGGAGCCAAAGATATTATTTGTCCTTTCATATCAATCTATCTGTTTCATATCTGTTTTATTTATTTATTTATTTTTTAATTTTATCTTTTTTTTTCTGCCTGTTGAAACTGTGGCAAAAATGTTATTTCAGTCAGGACCTCTAAAGAAAATAACTGCTTCCATTTAGTGGTTATTTTAGGTGCTATGGTTTTATTCAGACAGCTTCCTGCTGTCCACATGTCTACATGGAAATCCAAAGCCTGCAGTGGGAAAATACACCTACCCTATGTTTTATGTGCATGCAAGAAAAGCCATGGCAGGGAGAGCAGCAGCAAAACCCAGGACAGAACAGAGCTGACATCAGCAACAATATAAATGGCATTGGCAAAAATCAGACACCACATCAAACATGGAGCAGGGGAAAGTCAAACAAGAACACACCTTGTTAAAGCATTTTTTTTAACATAAATGTGAATCCAAATCAAGAGATAATGGATTAACGAGTATATGGGCAGCACAGCTTTTAACTGTTCACTGACGCATTTTGTCATTGTGATAGCTCCAAAAATATATTAACAAACCAAGAACATTTGTGTGTATGTGTTTGTGTGTGTGTGTTTGATGGCAGAAAAGGGTGGTAGACAGCTTACACAGACCCACCAGCATATCACCTCGTCTGTCAATCAAGCCACGGGGGAGGTGAAGGGTAAGGAGGAGACAGGCACGCTGGCTAATCATTTTGTAATCAGGCGTCAAAACAAAACAAAAAATGTTTATCTGATCAGTGCAGGCGGCTGCCAGAGTTGACATGGATGTTTTTTCCTCTCGTGTCATCATGTCAGGGCTAATGGACAGTGGTAAGGAGGGGAGTTAATTACTTCTGACGACGCTCCCGCTAATTTCCCATTTATATGTGCTCCCTTTTCTTCCCTGCCATCGGCCAGGCAGGCTGCTGTTTGGATCAGAGACATCAGAACACCTATACCATGTCTTTGCATACCAAACCATTATAGACATGGTTGTCCTCTCTCTTCAGATTATATATATATATATATATATATATATATATATATATATATATATACATATGGTTTTTTTTTAACAACAGTGGAGAAATGACCACATTTTTGATTAAAGAATTCATGTTTTAGCCCTGCTAGAGCCCAATATGTAGCAATGATAGTGATGTTGTGGTTACTACACCGAAGACGCATTCTTGGTTGTCCCCTACACAACAGGCAATCTGATCCTAAATACTGAACATATTTATTTTTTAGTATTTTAAATCAGTGCAACTTAACATCCTTAACCATAAACTGTATATACTATGGACAACTTGGTTCCGCCTTCCGCCAGTATACGGATTTGAAGCCAAAAAGCTCTCGGTATTTCCGTGTTTCTTTTTCATTTCCTGAAACCAACATTGTGCAGTAGTGTTGTACGCATTCGGCAAGAGAGTCACTGAGAGTCGCTGTGATGACGCTCGTCTCAAACAGCGTCTGGTGAGCTACACAATTTCTGTACGCCCATTGGCTGTATCAGGTGTCAATCATAGAAAACATGAATTTCCTAATAACGTAGGAGCTGTACAGAAAAAAGAGGACTTACAAGTCTTAAAGTAACTACATGTCAACATCACAAGCAGGGGGGAGAAAAATGTATGTTCTGTGTAATAAATTCCTAAAGTTTGTCCACATCCCCGTAAGGATGGCTGGAGGAGGCAGGATTTCTGACCTATACTGCAGCCTGTCACCAGAGGGTGCTGTTCTCAGGGTGGCTTCACCCAGCGAGGAGGCAGACAGCGTCCATTCTATAGTCTACAGTCTATGCCCTTAACACTGCAGGAAAACCAGGAAATGTAATCTCTAGAACCGAGAGACTGTTGGGTCTTTGCTTACCCTTGAAGAAAAGCCAAAAGTCACTAAACCAGCCAGGCAATGTCTAAGCTGAAGTCCCAAGAACATAGCAAACGTATGTGAGCTGTGTGCACCTTAATAAGATGTTGTGAACCAGACCAAAAAAAACAATGTCTTTTTTAGAAGGGTAAGTGGATTGGGTTAAACCAACCTCCACAAAATGTGCATTTCAACAGTAACCTTGTATGTCTAATTTGTTAATGCTATGTTTTGATTGTTGCTTACAAGTCTATTGATGGAAATACTTATGACCCACTGTGTATTTCCTGTTAAACACTAATTTATATTCAAGCTGTGATCAACACCATGTCAAGGTTTTAGTCTATGGACATCTTTCAGCTGTGAAACTTCGGGGTCTCTAGTTTCTTATTCCTCTAAACAGCCTAAAGCATTCACTCTTGAAAAGTAAAAATTGATGGTTAAAGATTATTTTGGGGCAGGGATTCCTTCCAGACCAACACTGCTCTTCAGATGTGACACCAGCTGTCTCACACCTAAGAAAAGCTCTCTGAGTGGCAGACGGGGTGCTGCTCTGAAGAGAGGACGACTTTCACTGTGTGACTGACACTTTGTCATCTGTGACACTGTCTCAACCTCTGTCACTCTCCTTTGCTCGAGCTTTACTCGTGTTGACTTCACATCTTGAAAGGCCTTTTCCGTCTATTTCCATTTCATCTAATCCACAACATTTCACGGCTTATTCCATATTCTCTGTATTATTGTTCCAGATTCCTAAACTTCTTACTTTGTCCTCGCTCTAACCTTCGTTAACCTTTCATATTGACTTTCTCAAACTTGTAAAAAGATCATCTCAAGCCAATAGTCGTGTGATGCATTCTGCTTTTTATTTGTTGTATGAGTCATATTGCTTCTTATTTGCTGCAAACTCTCATGTGGAAAGCAAGAAGAACACAATCATCATGATGAAGTCCAACAACTCATTGGTCATCATCTGATGACTATTTCCTTTAGAGTTATCTTTTTAAACCTCTAAAATCAGACCTGGGATTGAATACCCTACCTAGGAATACTCCAGAGTGTAACCTTAAGTCTGATTTAGTAGACTTAAAGCTATGTTACAATCAAAGCTATAAGCTGTGCGCCAGTTAGACCAGAAGCCATGTTTGGATATAATTTATTGTTTAAAACAGATCAGTTGTAAGTTTGTAAAGTCAGACTGAGGAGTTGCTGATGTTTATGAATTAGACTGAAATTCATCTTGTCGCCTTTTTATGAAACCCAATACTAAACTAGACCACCAGTGACATTTTTTTATCAAGTCACTGCAAAGAATAAGATAAGCAAAGACGTTTTTGTCCTTAGGGAGCTCCTAAATTCACACTAACCCAAAAGTTCCTCACAGGAGCTTTAAGGTAATCCTCTCTGCAAACTATAACAATGCAATACTAACAGAAAAGGTAATAAGCTCAGCCCCTGAACTACACAAACATCATTTCTCAAATTCCTATTTGTGCTGTAAACAGAGGAAATGCACAGAAATGAAAGTGTTGGAGGGGAATTCTTAATCTCTATCTGGATACATTCGAGGCCTCTAAAAGATGGTGGTTGTTTCAGAGGGTCCAGTGTTATTAGGCAATCTGAGACCGGTCTTCCAGCGAACCAGAAGGTAGTTCATGTTAATAGCTAACCCCAGAACACTTCATTCTGATTATGAATCTATGTTAATAGTTTAAAGAAAATGCTGTCTTATTATGACACAACTCTAAAAAAGGCATGAATCATACCAACACCAATCTGTCAGGGATTTTATCCTTCACATCTTTCCTCAAATTTGGTCTTAATTGGTGCCCCTGACAGCTGGCTCTGAAAACACTCAAGAACTGCTCTTCAACCCCTTTTACATTATTATATGTTATCTAAATGGTGGCGGCCTGCATGCTTAGCTCCAGTATTGGGCCTGATAAACGATGGACCTTCTGGCTGATATATGCAGAAGGGCCAAAAGTGAAGAGGGACATTTTATTCTAGGCCATCAATCTCAGCAGGATATGTGGGCACTGGTGGATATGGTGGTAATTCATTATAAAAGGGGCTACCAGGGGCCCTCAGGGGTGGTGATGGCTCCTCATCCTGTGATTGAGATTGTGAAAGTGGAGCTGTTTTATGGGATTCTTAATTTAGAGAGACAGGGACTGCACACATGTCTTGTCAGAGAGGGAAAGGGGCATTCAGGGCTGACCTCTGCGAGGGGCCGTAATGAAGAACAAGTTGAACAATTTCAGCTCTCTATGTAAGCACACGTGGATATCTTCAGGGAAATACGGCGTGAAAGATACATTCAATATACATAATAGGAGTTTGTAGACAAAGGGAAGTAATCTATGACCAGGTTAAGGCAGTGTGAATGGTGTAGGTGTATTCACAGTCTTCAGTGATTCATATTGGTCATCTATCTTTGATTGAATAGGAAGTGGTGACATCCATATACCTTGTAGGTCATAGATATAAATGATGATACACAGACAAGCATGTCCCCAGTGTCTCCTCTCAGTCCATACAGGGAATAATAATCAATCTTACTGTCAGAGACTCTCTGGAAAAGTAGCTGCTGTTGAAGTTAACGGCACTACCTGGATGCTTCAAACTGTGGCTCTTCGAGGGCTTGATTCTTTCACGGGTGGCTCCTAAGAATCAAGAGATTGATAAGCATTTAAGCATGACACCAATCAATCAGAAAGACAAATCCTCCGTGTCACTCTGAGCTCTCTGCTATTCTGTGGGAGACAGGCTTTCTCCTTGCATGCAAACAATGTCCCCAATTTGTCAGGGACACAATAACAGCGCTGGCAGAGCCCATTTGCATCACTGTGTGAACAACAAATGTCATTGATCACCATATTGATTATTGTATTTTGGAGAAAAGAGATGTCCCCAGAGAGATTATTGGAGGCAGTTGAACAATCAGATCCTTAGACTTCTCTTCTTTGACCTTTTTGAAGATATCTCGAACTTCTCTAGGTGAGAAAGAACTGGTTTTGACTCCTGACAAAGACATGCAAAGATGAAACATACAGAATTAAGGTTACATAGTAAAAAAAAATTCACATCTTGATCAAAAACATTTCAGGTTTTATTTTGGTGTGTAATATCTTGAAATAAGACTTTTTTTTTCCAGACTTGTTGTGGTGAATGTTGTTTAAATCAAAACAAAAACACTTGCAAAGACTTAATTTTTTTATTTTTTTTTGCTTTTGATTTTCTTATAAAATACAAAAGCATTTTGTTGAGCGAGCCTATCTTGGAGCCATAAATGATGCATCCTTAATTTGATCATAAAGCGTCAATAAACAAGGAAATTTCTTCTCAATAAACAGTCTGTGTTATGTAATATTATTAAATATCATAATCATGTAGTGCTGCAATAGAAACCAAGATCACACCATAATAACAATGATAGAGTCCGAGTTAAGAGGAAGCCCACGCTCCACCTTCCCAGCACTCCAAGAACTCCCAGCAGTGATTTAAAGTGTTTTACTCACCAGTGACTGACCAGTTAATGAGTTTATGCCACATAACAGAATATGAGCAGGGTGTGGTTGGAAGGCTTTTAAAGGCTTTAAAGTGTTTTTAAGAGCCCGATATAAAAGAAAGATTATTGGTAACACTTTATGTCAGGGTGTGTTTTGTTACGTAAGAATAGACCACATTTATCAAATATTATACCACTGCCACCTCTATAAGCCCTAGCTCAGTAAAGCATATAAAGATTGTAATTAATGTACCACAATGTCCTTTTTAAATGGATAAGTAGTTACTAGAAGGCTATAGACTGTAACTTTTAAATAAATGCCTCACTAGTTGAATAATATGGTCATGATGAAGGTGTAAAGAAGTGCTTTATGATGACTTATTAAGAGCCAATCAGGTATATATGCTCTTTAGCAACTAAATAAAGATTAATCTGTGTACCATAACATGAATTTTTACCAACTGACCTTAAAAGTGTCTGTTAAAATAAGTCTGTTAAAAAGTTTTTTGATTGTTGATGTGTTTTGTACTTTTTAGGGATTTTAGTTGGAACTATTTGAGGCTTTTAGTTGCCATGTATGTTTTTGCCAAAACACAACCTACTTAAATGTGACAGGATCATATCAAAAATGCAAAGCTGACGACATTGTTCGTTTTCCTCTACCAATCAGAAATGTGGATCACTGTTCAGCTCAGCCCTCATCAGCTGAGACCTAAAGGTCAGAAAAGGACAAATGTGTTACACCTGAAAGTGCTAAAAAAAGTGACTTTCTGAACACAGCATGATGCTGAAATTGTCAAAAAAAAAAAAAAAAAAAAAACAGCGTACAATAACCCCGGCATTATTAACTTGTTCTGGCTTTCATTAAACTAGGAAAATCAAGCTGTACATTTGACCCAGTCTGCAGAGGATAAGGGCCTATAGCCAAGATCTAAAATCAAAATTTTTACACACAAGCCAAGTTGACAGGCAAATTTTTCACCACCAGGAATAATAAAACTAACTAATAACTTGCTGAATATAAATGGATGAGTAGGCCAAAATCCTTCCAAAATTGCAGCCAAATTTTTGTTTTGGACCAATTGTGAAGCCTGAAAACAACTCATGTATATATAGTCTTAACCCCCCTAAATAATGGTTGCACTTGGGCACCCTTTGTTATGGTGATGCATAGCCCTCCAAAATTCACAAAACATCACTCCGGTTTTCCTCCTGGCCCTGTAAGATGAAAAATAGTTAACAAGCAAATTGTCGAGCACCCAATACAAAACCTTTTCCATCCAATCCAATCCAATCATCCCTGAGAGTCATCCTTGGTGTGCTAATTCAGAGTTTATTGCCATTTGAGCATGTGAACTCTAGGGGCAGACTCAACTCAAATCTTTGAATCTCGTTTTGTTTAGGAATAACACCAGGAGGTAGCTAAAAATATAGAGTGGATCCTTACCTCCCCTTTTTATACTGCTTTTACACCCCTGTGATGTCTCACCTGTTATGTGGCTGCATGTCACAAAGGTGCAATGGTGGCACCATGTGGTCTTACTACTGTGCCAGCATCAGAAATAGTATCAGATAGATTACAGTGCCATAGTGGAATCTCTTCGAACTGGCAACAAATATAAAATGACACACCAGGACACCAATATTATGCCATTTTGGAATTAGTATGAAAGTACAAAATATGGTGTTTGGGCAGCGAATGCCCTCCATTTCTCAGAAAAAGGTAGGAACAAGAAGAGTTCTTTAAGATACATTGCATTAACTCAAATTAGTTCACCCACCTGACTTGGATTTTAGAGCTGAATGTATTACACCACAGCTCCAAAGCCATCCTCAGTTTTCTTTTTGTCTCAGTCTGCAGAACAGATGCTGCACTCACACCACTTGTTTGAGTCTGCTGGCAGACAGGGTAACTCTCTAATTGAAGATGTACATCACACTGCAACAGTTGCATATTATTAACACACAAAACAAGGGCCAATTGATCATTAGTGCATCAATATGTAGTTTGCATAAAATTATTTCCTTTAAATAGTCTGTGTTTGAGGTGACACAGGGTTGGCTCATCAATAATGTAAATGAGCCATTAGGGCATTAAGAGGCTGTCTGTGGGAATGACAGACCACCAGGCGTCAGTGAGTTAATATCCAATACAGCACTCCCTGTCACACAGGCCACTGGCTGGGCTGATTATAGACACAAATTACACCCATCTAAAGTCAGAGTCTTTAGAGCAGTTTAGCTTTAAAATAGGATTTTATTTTTGAGAGGTATATAACTTTCTAGGAACAAAATTAAACCCTTGAGTGTGGCCTTATATAACTCCTTAATGACCGCTTTCAGTCTTTTAAATAGCAAATTCTTGAAGTCACACGGCAGACTGTTGTTGTTGACACAGTTCCAAATAAATAGAGATTAGAGATGATAACAAATGTGATATACTCCTGAGAAGAATTCCCAATGAAGCAGTCAGAGCTCATCTCAGACTGTGCCCTTTGCCTCAATCCATAAGTGCTCCTGGCTGCCACCTGCAACCTTGAGACTCCCCCTCCACCCCCTGTCTTCCTCCTCTCCTCTCCACGTCTGCCAATAATAAGGAACCGGATAAAGTGGCAGCTAGAGGAAATGTTTACCATGAAATTGGTTGTGTCATCTTTAGAATCTGTGATGCAAACCACAGACAGAGCTATCAATGCGATCCATCACAGCATTGATTGTTGTAGGGTACTGGATTCAAACACACATCCCAAAGGTTAGAGGGACAAGAAAAGTCTGTCAGACTGCAGTGAGTTAGTGACTTGAGACAAAAGGACAGTGTAATGTAGCCACAGCCATAAGACAATGCACAGAACAAAATGACTTAGTGTGTGTTTGAGATTAGTGAGATAAACATAAAAGATGCTATGCTACAAGCAGCAACTACAGACTACATAGACTGGATCCTCATTCGCGTTCCTTGCCTCGCCTATTTTGTTGGGAACCCCTCTGCATCATCAGCAGGTGTCTCAGGGTCACTGGGGTTTCACCCCTTAACCTGTACACCTCGCCTGAGTGGGGCTGTGGAGGCTGGTTAGCCTTCACCTGCAGAAGGGTTCCAACTTTGGGCCTTCTTCAGCCACAACCATCTTGAGCTAGACTCTGCCATCATGACTATCTCCCTGGTGGCTTTCTTGAGCTGTTGAGGCTCCAAACCAACTCTCTGGAGGAAGTAGTGCACCGATTTTGCTGGGAACCTGCGGCAGCCAACCTTAATTGCCACCCTTTTAGAGCCGCTTCGTGAATCAGGTCCTGGTACTTGTTTTTTATTTTTTTATTTGATTTTTTTTTCAGATGGTGGCCAGGGCACGGTAAGTTCTGCCACTATGATAGTTTTACCCCCAATTTCCACCGCATCCGGAAAGGCTACGAAAAGGCCATATCTGCCAATCATAGCTGATCGTAACCATTCAAGTTAATGTGTCAATTTCCACTGGCTTCTTTCCATTCCACTGCAGATCGCCAGACTTTGCAGCTGATCACAAGAGTTCTATTTTTTACGGATGCCGGAACATGCCGGAACATGCCGGATAAATTCAGCACAGATTAACCTGTGCTAGAAAGGAAGTTGGGCACAGACACAAAATAAAACATTCGTCTCCTTTTCAAAATAAAATATTCTGTGTTTCAGGTGGATCGTATTTCACACCATGCAAACGGGCAGGGACAAACAAGAAAAAGGCTTATAGATAGCATGTCATCCCAATGACACCATGGATGAGGAGATGCTGATTTTATAAGTCTAGAAGTAGATTTCCTCCTCTGGAAGGACACAATCTTCTGCTTATATGGTTAGCCTATGTGGCTAAAGACAACTTGTTTTTGCATGATTGCACGTCAATCCACAGGCTCTTGTGAGTTCTTGGGATTCCTGCTGTCCATAATCCGCCACAAAATTCAGCTCACAAACAGATCCGGAAGGAATTGGCATACAGCGAAAATCGCCGCTGTTCGGGATGCGGTGGAAATCCTGGGTTAGTGCTCCTGGATAGGAGGACCACATGTGGTTAAAGGGGGTACAGTTACAGCCAATAACAGCAATGAAAAAAAGTTTAGATGTTACAGGTCCCACAGGTCTTCTCCAGAGAACATAACTCTATCTATCTATCTATCTATCTATCTATCTATCTATCTACCTATTCTTATCTGATTACCTTGGACTTGGTTATGGTGATAGCATGCTAAGCATTTTAATGTAATGCAACAGAGAAGCAGCTCTGATCCAAGCTCCCTGGACAGCTTTGGTCTATCTCAAAGGTTGAGTCCAGCTACCCTGCAAAAGTAATTCATTTTGGCCATTGCTGGGATCTTACTCTTTAGGTGAATACCCAAAGCTCATGACCAAGGTGAGGGTCAAAACATGGAATGACCAGCAAATAGAAGGATTTCTAGGGCACCCTGTCTGGACACCCTTCTTCCCCCTACTGATCCTTGAGCTCCTCCTCATGAAAATCATACAAGATTGATGGCAAGGGGTAACCCTGGCAGAGACTAACATGCACAGGAAACATGTCTGACTTTGTGCTGAGAATACAAACACAGCTCAACTTCAGCAAAGCCCATGAGGCCCAGGGTAAGAGCCCCATGATCCTGTATTCGTAGCCCCACATGACCCCCTGGGGGACATGGTTGTAGACCCTCTCCTCTCTCACAGAAGTCCTGCAAGAGAAGAATTAAATTCTACTTTTTTTTTTTTTTTTTTTTTTTACTGTAGTGGGGGGATTGCATTAATATTTAGTCATATATTTAGTTTAGAATATATTACTTAAAGAAATTAATTAATTCCAGAGTTTTTGTTGAATGTGCAGATATTGAAAAGTGACATGTCATAGTGACTGCTACATCCGTCTGTACCAGTCTCTGTCAAACTTGTACCATGATGTGTGCCTATATTTGGGATATCAGGATGACACAGTAATAGTTAAAATAATATGATCATTTGTCTCAGTATGACTAGGTCATATCCCTATCTGCTATGACACTCTGGGCTGTACCGTCATCTCTAAAAACTAGCACATGAGGGTGCTCATTAGCCTTCTATTACTGATGTGACAAGCACACCATAATAGCCCAATTATCCCAAAATGCCAAATTTCACTCCAAAGGAAAAGGAGTGTGTAGTGATTAATGGTGAACACTTAAGGGGAAGAGTTAGACAACGCTGTTGGATAGAGAGAAATATGTATCAGGCTGCCACTACTACAGATGCTTCCTCCCTCCTGACAACTGCAATTCATTTGAGATGCTATTAACATGCATAATTATGCTAATCAAGCAGTAATTAAGTGCCAATTCATCAGAGACCATTTTTTGTCTGTAATTTTGTCAAGCATGGCTGTTGGGTTTGTTTTTTCATGCATATTTCTCTCAACAATATTGCCCAAATGAGACTCTCATTGCGTCTAACAGCCCCTTTGCTGTATGTTTTTGAAGTTTGTAAACAGGATGTGTCAGAGACAGGATGTAATGTTTTCCATTGGTTACATATTCTCTGCATTCATACAAGAGACTCATAAAAATACAGCACAGGGTGCATACATGAATAAATATCATAGATTCAAAAAAAACACACAAGTTAACCTGAGTTAAAATGAAAAGTAGCCATTGTGTTACGTCTTACGTCTTCTACATATTTTTGTTACGTCTTAAAAGAAGAAACTACACATATGACTGTTTGTCTCTAGGCTTGCAATATTGGAGCATAAACCCAATTTCTTTTAGTTACGTTTGACGGTTAAAGCCACATTTAAGTCCAAGTTATGACACACAGGTAAAAACATTTAGCACAGTGCTATCTTAAAGTTATGTTACATTGCCAAGCCACTGCTGTCACTGAGTTGTTACCAGTCTGAGTGGGACCATACCTGCCAACACCCCCGTTTTTCCCGTGACTCTCCCGTATTTCAGACCTATCTCCCGCCCCCCTCTGGTATCGTCATTTCTCCCGGGACACTCCCGTAGTTTGCATGGTCCACATTCATTCATGAGTTGGATCACTATATTTGTCCAAAGTTGCCAGGTTTCTTGACAACCGAAGATTGTCCTGTGTTTCTGCTGCGCCTCACAGATGCTGGATTTTTACTTTTACTTTGCAATTTGGGATGATTCAGGTTGGTTTAAGCTGTAAACTATATTTAAGCAGTGTTCGTTGCAAAATGAACACTTAAAAAAAAAAAAGGAGACAAACACAAGGTTTAATATTTACGTTGATAGTCTTGCACCATCTGTAAAAACAAGAAAGATGCATGGGGTCAGTAACAATCGGTACCTGTTTTGTAATTGTTCAGGGTAAGTGACAAGCTAAATCTACAATGTGTGATGATGCACCACTGATGCACCACTTGAGTCTTCAAAATAAAATAAAAATACACCTGTTTTCAGTTTACCGCTGTGCTTAAAATAGTAAAATAAAATAGATCCAAACTGCATAATATATAACCTCTTAGAATTAAAAATAAATAGATAAACTATTTTTTCACCAAACATAAATCCAGAGGGTCCCTATTGAGTCTTGGAGTCTTCGTGGGAACACTCTGTCCTTACTGCTGACCTTGAACAAGATTAGAGGTCAGATCAGAGGCTCTTGGGTGATTCTAACATCGCTGGCCTGTAAGCTTGCATTAGAAACCCTGAATACTCTTTTAACCCTGGTTTTATAAAACCAGGAGAAACAGATCTGAACTGTTTAGATAAACATGGCTGAAATTTTTCTTCAGTCTTTACAACAATGGAGGATAATTATCATTAAAAAACCTGCAATGGAGGAGGTAACTGATGGAAAATGCACAACATACATTATGGTGTAAGCTATAGATACACACACATACACTCACACCGTGTCACTTGCTTGACACTTTTACTTAGCAGCACTTGAGGAGTGTTTTGCATTCATTGTCTGTCCTCTTTAAAGATTGTCTACATTAACCTCTACTGATTGACTTTCTCTTTGTGTCCCTGTAATGGGCCCTGAAGAATAAGAATAAACCGGCCTGCTTAAAGAACTGAAACTCCTCTTAAAAGCAGTCTAGAAGCAAAGTATCTGTAAATAAGATCCTGTCATCTTTATTTTTGACAATGGCATCATAATTCTATAATATTTTTGTAACAGACTAAACAAAAACCTCAATTTTCCCAGACTGTTTTCTGTATTTCAACCCCTGCTTTGGTTCATGATGCCACTGTGTCTCCCAGCTGCAGTGCGGCACATGTGAAATGTTATTTACAATGGCACTCCTCTGTCCAGTTTCACCCGCAGAGTCAGACAGGTGTTCTCATTGGACATGAAAGCCTCTGGTGATGCGTGTCAGTCTTGATCACCCATGATGATGGCCTGAGGAAAGAAAACTGTGTCCATTCCTTTGACATGGGAACTCTTTGGAGTTTCAGCACTTTTATGATAGTTTTGGCAACCAGAACAAGCCTTTTAGAGGTTGAGGTCGACAGTTGCAGCTTCCTTTTATTGGCCGTTTATGCTTCAATTTTCCAGAAATGTTCCTTTGACGCTGATTGTATTTGTCATTTGGCTCTCTGTTTTCCTCTGTGTGCCTCAGTCTCCTTGCAGAGTTTGCCATTCTCTGTTTATGTGGTGAGTTTTTCACTTGACCCTAAAGGTTGATATTTATGCTGGTCACATGGTCCTCCAAATGGTCCAGTTTGGTAAGAATACCAATGTTTCCAGTGATGTGTGCCAATAAGGTCTTCAGTTTCCAAGCTCACATATAAACCATTTCAATACAGGATTACTTTGAAAGGGTTTGGTATTCTTTGTAGGGTTTCTGAGTCCATGTCAGATGATTAAATGTACCTTAAGTAAAGTTGGCTTGTTAAAATCATGTAAAACTGTTAATGATACACCTTTAACCTACACCACACCATCTGAGTTTTTAATCTAAAATATCAAAACATTTATTTATTTTTACCATCAAGGTTTAGCATCAAAAAGTATTTTGTGATAAAAAAAAAAAAAACAAAAAAAAACACAATATTTTAAAATATTTGTTGTTTCCTTTTTGCTTCAAAGCAGACTGCTTGGGAGAGACGGTAAATGTGAGGAGCAGAGATGAGGGGGAGATATACAGCAAGAGGTCAAGCCTATGACCACTAAGATGGAGACTATAGCCTCTGTTTACTGGGTGTTTGGTTTGATAAGTGGAGCATACAAGAAACCCAAAAATCACAGTTTTTATACAATATATTTCTATTCCAAATTCAGATGTAAACTAAATACATGGATCAGATGTGTTCTTAAAAGACAAGAAAGCAAAGAGAAACCACACAGAAGAAAACAAAAGAGCACACATAAAAACATAAAGCTTTAACCTCATGTTTATTTATGTTAATATGGTTGATCATTAAAATAAACTTGGATAGTACCCGTTAGGAGTTTAAAAAAAAGACACAACTGTATCCCACGATCTTTCCAGACCCTGATAAAGACCTATGAACATGGAAGCAGCTTTTTCCATCGCCATTAGGTCTATAAAGTCTTACTTATGGCTCAAACTTAAACAGATTGGAGTCTGAATCTTCCCTGAGTGACAAATTTTACTGGAGTGGCAGGTAATCTATCTGTTTTGTCACTTAATAAACACAGTGAAGGCAGTTTAGGAGGAGCTCTGTGAGAGCATTTCCTTCAACTGACCAGAGGGGAGTCAGCGTAACGTATTCCCATGACACAGTGTATTCAATACAGACGACCAGCAACCACAACAACCTAAACAGACAAACCATGTGTACTTCGTTTTGAATATCAGGTAGCTAAAATGACAATTTAGTTGTAATTATATTGTTAGTTTTATGTTACCATTGTAACCTTGCTTACCACTGCATATGATTCATCTGTCTTCAGTCTGACTTGACTGTTTAAATCGCAGGGACAACCTTGCAATTCGGATTTCATACCACTCAATCCGACAGGGAATTCTGGGAACAGAGGGATAGTCCTCCACTTTTCTCTTGGTTTACAATGTTTATTGGAAGTACATCAAAATGAACAAATTGTTGAAGTTAGAATAGAATCATACTTTGTGTATTCAGACTGAATAGATTAGTGAGTCATTGCCCCGTCTAAAGTGGGTTGGAGGACTTCCTACATGTCTACATAATTGTCTTATTTTATCTCGCTCTTGTCCCATGATGAACTGGTCGCATTTTCAGGCTATAAAAAAAAAACAGTCCAGAAACGTAGCATGACAGAGAGTGAGTTGACTTGGCCACCGATAAAAAGGCCCCATGGCGCCAAACAGCCTAATCATAACCAAGCTCCTCTACTTCACTTACCCAAATAATGTCCCATAAGGCTTGTTTTGGACTGCCACTGTCGCAGTGTCTCTGTGGGGACTTCAGATCATCTGCAGATGATTTGAGTAGATTTATAGCCACAGAATTCTGGAGTAAACACTACACAACAACATCCAAGCCAGAAAAAAAGGCTGTTATGCAGGATACAGTCTGCACAGAGAGCAAACAGAGAGAAGCAGCCGTGTTGACGGTGGCTGGCTCTACAGGATGAGATGGGTTCTGAGGTTTGATGGAGCAGAAGGAGGCTCATGCAGACGGCTGGCTGCTCCTTTTGACGGCGTGTCAGGGTTAGCTCGCAAGCTGCTCCGCCGCATCTGGGTGATGCAGTCATCATTGTGGCAGGCCTGTCAGAACAAACTGGTGTGCCGGAGACAGATACAGCGTTAGTGGCTGGATGGGGAGTACGCAACACATGCACCACCCCAACATGGAATATGTTCCCCAAACTGGCAAGCTGGTGGCAAGTTAATGACAGGAACGACCAGTGACATCATATAAAAACATGATTACGCTCCACTAAAGATGTCTGAGTGAGTCCATAGATCAAACAGACAGGGTGATGACTTGAACTGGCTACTGGCATTACTTTTAACAGGAGTACTGGTAACAGAAAGTCAGCTCCTATAATTTCTAAGAAAAATTTCACCACAAATGTGCTGTGGAATAAATAAACATTACTCCCACACACAGAGAAAGATGATGAGACAAAGAGAAGCTCTGGCATTGCCAAGAGTGGGGTCTCATTGCATCACCAGTGCTGTTTTTTTATTCCTGAGGTATTCAAATGAATTGACAGTCAAACAGGGAGAGTAATGTGTAATCATTAGCAAAGGGTTTGCAAATTATTTATACAATGTAAACCATTATAATTTACTCCCACATTTTTCTCTTATGCTACCATTAAGAAGTAAGTTGGAATCCAATAAATGTCACAATCCCTTTCACTTAATTAAAACAATAGATATCATATTACAAGGTAAGATGTCAGTCATACTGCAGGCTCCTGCGCATAGCAATTTACTGCTAAAGCGTTATGAGAGAGGGTGACACAAATAATGGCTATTAAACTGTCAGCGTGTGGAGGCTGGATCACATTACTGAAATTAGCTAAGATGCACTATTATAAACAATGCCAGCTGCTGCTTAGCACATGCATGCACAAAGTTAGACCCACAAGTCTGCACACACACACACACACACACACACACACACACACACACACACACACACACACACACACACACACACACACACACACACACACACACACACACAAACAGTGTTAAGAACAGCATGGAGAGGAAATGTAAAATATATGCAGCCTTATAAATTTTCAGGTTTTTGAACAAACAAGTTAATGTTTCTTAGATTGATCACGTGTTTTTGGACTATTTTTGAGGCTTTAAGAGGACATTCAATATTGAAATATTCAATGTTGGACTGTGTCTCTAATCCTGGAAAGTCCATTATCTATCAAGCCAATACACAAAGTCCAGAGACACATGAGAGCGAGGCCAGTTTTTGATCAATGATGTGGCATCCGCTCGAGTTCTTTTTGCAAACATAATACCCATGATCAAATCTTTCCATCTGAAAGTGAAGTGATGTGTAATCTCCGTCAGGCCACATCATATTAAGGTAACCTACTTGTCAAGAATAGATAGAATAAGCAGCAGTGCTCCTCACTTATAAATACATACAGTTAAAAAAATATATGATTGTTCACACATCAACTGTTTAGATGAATATCGGTGCAACTTTAAGAATCACCTCTGAAGGCTCAGCGCTGGTAGGCTTTATTGCACATGACATATCTACAGTCAACACTGACATCTGCTGGTTTCAAGGAAAGACCCCTCTTAAGTCTTAACTTCTATGGTACAGCATATTTCACACCATCAGAGCATTATAATACAATACACTGCAATGTAAATCAGCTCAGTCTGTTAATTTTGCAGATTCCTCATTCCCAGAGCCTTTTAATTTCCTTTTAACATGTGGGATCAATTGAGTGGTGTTCCACACTTATCAGCAGGACTAATTTATTTATGAACCTGTCATTTGTAATCATTGATTGGGATGTTGTCCGTCTGGGAACTAATGATATGCAGAGGTAAAAGATTCCCTAATTATTGTGTTTGGTCTAATTGAGGCTGTTTGCTCCCGCATGAGAGTTCAGAGGGGAGCCAAGAGCCGCCCTGTGTGTCACCCTGTCACACACGCCTCTAGAATCTGAGCAGATTCACTGAGACCCTCAGACTAAACACGATGGGTTTGTCTCATTTGAAAAATAAAGCCTGAAAGATCTAGCAGGCACTAAATAACAAACATCAGATGAGGCAACCGAATTTCCATTTCTATTGGCTTTTCAGCAACATTGTTTTGGACACTCCTCATCAGGACAACACCATCCTGGTGGGGTTACAGGTGCTAACACTGGCTGGGTACAATCATTGGATCTTTTATTAAATTTGACAAAAAATATCATGTACCCTGGAAACTAAACCAAACCAGTGCCTGACTGAAAGCCTGAGAAATCCAAAGACATGTGGTTTGTGTCATGGTAGTAACAATCTTTGAGTTTTTGGTATCAAGTCAAAAAGAGTTTCTGTCTCTGATTGTATTTTTTTTTTTTTTCATTTTTTTCCACATCAAACTCCACCTTTGTTGTTTAAATATGAACAATTTTATTTATAATCTCATTTGAAAGATTACATGCTTCATGTAAAGAGGCCACAGTCTTCAAATAGGTGGTCCAGGGATCAAGCCCAGCTCTTTTTTTTTTTCATTTACAGAGTCATGAAAACATTAAAAATGGGTCAATGGTTCTAAAAGATTATTCTGCACTCAGGAAAACTGGGTAGGGTTAATAAAAAAACATGTGACAGAGAAAAGATTTGTACACCACTGTTTTCTAGAATGGTCATTTTTTCAAAATGTGATTTAGTTTATTTCACATTGATTGTTTTAATTGCTTATTATTTTTGCCTTGGTTTAATCAGCCTGTCTATTGTTTGATAGTACAGGGGTTTAAAAGTCTGAAACTGGAGCAGACTGGACACTATCCTTTAGGTACTGTGAGCACCTGCATTTTTATTTTTCACCAGTAGTGGGCAGCCTTTGACAAAAACTCCTTTCGAGACCTTAAAATTGATCCTCAGGAGTTGACCCTTCTTTAAGAAAACTATTCTCTCTGACTGCTTCACTGCTAATGAAGATTCGCCTTATAAGCATCAAAACCTGAACTGTTTACATATGCATAAACCAAAACACTTTACAATAACAATAACTTATAAATGGTAAAACAACCATTTATAAATGGCAAGCAGATAGTTTAATAATGTTTAATCATCATTTATAAATAGCATATAGACCATTAATAAATTGTAAATTTTATCATTTTAAAAACCTAACCCTAACCCTAACTTTACAATGATCATCTAAGTAATGTGTATAGGTGATTTATAAATCACTTATTAATCATTTACAAAGTATTACAAACATCTGTTGCAACTTCACAATAACCATCTAAGTAATTTTCATGGATGTTTAAAAATCAAATATTAACCATTTACAAAGTGATACTGACACACATTTTAATCTAGATGTTTTACAACAAACATTTAAACCATATATAAACCTTTAATAAATAGTCCATTAACAATTACTGAAAATTATGCATCATAATTTTATTGCTTGTCAATGGTAAAATAACTCTTAACTTACATTAATAAAGTATCTATTGGCCATTTATAATTGATCTATATGCTGTTTTAAAATGATGATTAAACATTAATAAAACTATCTATTTACCATTAATAAATTATGGTTATTGTAAAGTGTTACCAAAATATTATTATTGATGTAAATGTTTTCAAGTTATGTCTTTCAGCATTTTTTCTTTGTGGACATTGTAAGAATTGACCCTGAGAGCGGCTGTGACCATATAAGGAGGCAGAGGCAGGAGATGAGTTAAACCCACACAGTGGGTATTTATTTGCAGTGTATAAACCAAAAACCAATAAAACACACCATGCTCAGTCCATTGTGCACACGAGAGATTCCCAGCTCAGAGGAAAGCGCTCCCCTATATACCCTCCCCGATTGGGTGCTACCACGTGTAGGGGTGTGGAAAAACTGTAACCAGTTTAATATAACTATTTAAAAAGCACCTACTTAAAATATACAAACCTATGCTCCAGACTAAATCATAGAACCTAATTTCGAGTGTACATTAATCACATACTGTGATCATCCTCCCAATTAAATGTTACACGTGGCACTGTTCACCCCCCATACCCATCTGCCAGTTGGAACCCTCCCGGAACGCTAAAAGGCCGTTTGTTTCCCCGGGGACTCTTTTACATGTGCACCCTGGGAGTGGAGACAGAAAGGCACAGGTAAGTGTTCACAATATTCACGTCAAACTGATTTTAAACTGCACTACTTCCACCTTTTACTCAAGCACACAAATATGCTGAAACCCTCATCCACATCGTGTGCACTGTGTTACAGGTGGTGCGGCTAAATTAACCCCCGGCTACCGGACGAGCTACCGGACGTCCCCGGAGAACACCTATACAAATACACACATACACACACACACACACACCATTAACCAAATCAGAATTAAAGTATTTTGACTGAAATACCTCTGTGGCTCATCATTTGCTAATCATGTGTAGCTTTTAATTTAACAACCCTCAATGTTGTGTCTACCTGCACTATATATATATATCAACACTGCTTAGCTGCCCCAATCCTCAGCTACTCACTGCAGTAGTAACGGAGACAACAGAGGCCTCCGTTACATTTCCTTCCCCCTCTCCCTTAGCTGCACAGTACCTTGTTACACAGGGTTACGGGACAGACAGTCAGCTACCAGGTTGGATTTCCCCGGCCGGTACTTGACCACAAAGTTGTAGGGCTGCATGGCGAGGTACCACCCTGCGATACGCATATTTGCATCCTTCATCCGGTGCAGCCACTGGAGCGCTCGATGATCCGTCTCCATGGTAAACTGGCGCCCCAACAGGTAATACCTCAGAGACTCAGTGGCCCACTTCATTGCAAGGCACTCCTTCTCAATTGTGGAGTAACGGGTCTCTCGATCCAGCAACTTCCTGCTGAGGAACAAGACAGGCTTCATCTCGCCTTCCACTTCTTGGAGCAGCACCGCCCCAATGCCAACTCCGGAGGCATCCGTTTGGAGGGTGAAGGGCCTGTCAAAATCCGGGCTTTGCAGAACTGACTCCACACTGATGGCTTGCTTCAGGTCCCTGAAGGCTTCTTCACATTTTTCAGTCCACCGAACTTTGGCAGACGCTGAGGCCTTAGTTAGATCTGTCAAAACAGCAGCTCTCTCTGACAGATGTGGGATGAACTTACGATACCACCCAACAAGTCCCAGGAAAGACTTCACTTTCTTCTTTGTGGTTGGAACTGGGTACGAGGTGATGGCTTCCAACTTGCTCACTTGTGGGCGAATCACCCCATCCCCGATGATATATCCCAAGTACTCCACCTCCTTCTGAGCGAAGATGCACTTTCGAGGATTGATGGTCAGTCCCGCAGCCTTGATACAATGAAGGACCCGTGTCAGATGGGCCATGTGCTCCTCCCAGGTTTGGCTATAAACCACCACATCGTCCAAGTATGCTGCTGAAAACGCCGACACTTCTCGCAGGACCTGGTCCATGAGCCTTTGAAATGTTGCAGGTGCCCCCTGGAGCCCAAACGGCATAACACGGAAATGGAAAAGGCCATAAGGTGTTGCAAAAGCTGTCAGCTTCTTCGCCTCAGGTGCTAAGGCCACTTGCCAGTAACCTTTGCTCAGATCTAGTGTACTGATGTACTTGGCTTTCCCAACCCTCTCCAGCAACTCATCAATTCTGGGCATTGGATATGGGTCAAACTTGGAGATGGTGTTAAGATACCTGAAGTCAATGCAGAACCTTAGGGAACCATCCTTTTTTGGCACCAAGACAACTGGGCTGCACCATTCACTGTCCGACACTTCAATGATCCCCAACTCCAACATTAGCTGGATCTCCTTTTTCAGCTCAGGCACCAGGCGCTCAGGGATGCGATAGCTTCTCTTGCGGCTAGGAGCAGTCTCCTTCAGGTGAATGCTGTGTTGGACCAGATCAGTAAAACCTGGCTTCTCCTGGAACAATTCTGGATCCAGGAGGGCTTCCACACCCTTCTGTTGGTCAGGTGTTAGATGTGCTACCTCCACCTGACTGACTCCTGCTGGACTTGTCGGAAAGAACTGCTCCTCCACCTCCTTCTCCTCAGCTGCCTGGATGAAAAAATGCTGTGACACTGGCTCTGGACAATCGTGGAATTCCTTCAACAGGTTAATGTGAAACGTTTGGTGCATTTTTGCTCTATCAGGCATATGAATTTCATAAGAAACCGCACCGACCTTTTTCGTGACCTCATATGGCCCCTGCCATTTTGCAAGCAGTTTGCTTTCACTTGAGGGGAACAGCAGCAGCACTTTCTGTCCAGGCTGGAAAACCCGTTCCCTGGCCTTCTGGTCATACCAGGTTTTTTGTTTCTCTTGGGCCATGGTCATGTTCTCTTTTGCTAGCGTAGCCATCTTTTCCAACCTCTCTCTCATCTTCACCACATACGCCACAATGCTCTCTCCTGAAGCCTTTGGATCCTCCCAGTAATCCCTCAGAAGGTCAAGAGGTCCTCTCACCTGGCGTCCATAAAGCAATTCAAACGGTGAGAAGCCCGTGGAAGCTTGTGGCACCTCTCTGTAGGCGAAGAGGAGGTATGGCAACCACTGGTCCCAGTCAGAGCCTGTCTGTGACACAAACTTGCGCAACATGTTCTTTAAAGTTTGGTTGTACCTTTCTACAAGCCCATCTGTTTGGGGGTGATATGGGGTAGTTTTAATGCCCTTTACTCCTAGGAGCTGGTACACTTGCCTCAACAACTTGGACAGGAAGTTGGTTCCACAATCTGTGAGGATTTCTTTGGCTATTCCTACCCTGGAGAACAACTGCAGCAAACAATTAGCCACATGCCTAGCTTTTACTGATCTAAGGGGAAAAGCCTCTGGGTAACGTGTGGCATAATCACACATTACCAGAATGTACCGGTTTCCAGAAGCACTCTTCTCTAAGGGCCCCACTACATCCATGCCTATTCTCTCAAATGGTGTTTCAATGAGTGGTAATGGCTGTAACAGAGCTTTCGTCACCCCCTTTCCTGCTGTAACCTGACAGATTGAACACGAGTTGCAAAATTTGGAAAGCTGGGTGTACATACCCGGCCATACAAAGCGGTTACTTACACGGCGTAATGTCTTGTGAAATGCCATGTGCCCTGCCCAAGGAATGGAATGGCCTAGCTCCATGATGGTGTGCCTGAGTGACTGTGGAGCTGCTAATGCCTGAGTACTACCCTGACACTGGTAAAGGATACCCTTCTCAATCATATAGGTAACCTCCTCCAGACAGCCTGCACTTCCCTGACTGACCCCATCAACCTTGGAAACCTTCTGAAACCACCGCTGTAGAGTAGGATCCTTTCTCTGTAATTCACCTACATTAAGTGGAATATCCACATCTAAGGGCGGGCTGGGTTGGGGAATCTCATCCTTTTCTCTCGGGGCACCCAAAAACTTGTCCCTTCGCTTTTGGACTCTGGATCTTCGCAGCTTCTCTACACCCACCTCCAGCTCTGCTTCATAAAATGGTAACTCACTGAGGGTGTTTCTCGCACTTTGAGCCCTGGTGACTACATGACATTCTTTAACCTCTGTCCCTGAATTCTCTCCTGACTTCACCTGAAGGGGTTCTGGCTCTCCCGGGATTTCCAGCACCTCATCACAAACAGTAGGCAAGGGACTCTGCTTCTGGGGGTCCTGCACTAAATCCAAAAGTGTAGGCACATCTAGTCCTAAAATGACGGGGTATGGGAGTTGGGGCACTAAAGCCACTGAGAGGAGAAAGGTCTGACCACCCACTGTTAAATACACCTCTGCAGTAGGGTAAGGCCTAACATCCCCGTGTACACATCCAATATCAGCTTTCTCATCAGCCCACTGCTCTCTGGGTACCAAGCTAGCCCTTACCACTGTCTGAAAACTGCCCGAGTCAACAAGAGCTTCTTCCCGCTGACCATTTATCAGTACTGGAACCTTCCTACCACTTTCCTGAGTGCCTGGTTCCTGCATCGTGGGTCTAGGGACAGAGCAGAGGAGAGATAGCTTGCTTCTTCCTGCAGCTGGACAAGTGTACTGAGTATGGCCTAACTCATTACAGTGGTAACACCTGACATCTGACTTAGCTGGCTTATTAGCATGGACAGGTCTACTCTGAGCATTCTGTTTATTACCGGGGAACCTGCCTTGAGTCTGACCATGACCCCTGTCCCCCCCAAAGGATTTATTTCTCACCCCTGGGCTATTGCTATGGTTGGTTGCTAGGCGCGGGTGACCCCTCCTGGCCGACTGAAACACCTCTGCCAGGCGAGCAGCTTCTTCAGCAGTTTTTGGGTCATGTTCTCGGATCCAAACTTCCATCTCTGGATTCACCATTCTCAGAAACTGTTCCATGATCAACAGCTCAGAAATGTCTTTGACGGTGGTGGTTTCAGGCTTGACCCATTTGTTGAACATTTCTTTCAGGCGAACATACAGCTCCCGTGGGGTCTCTCCCTGATGAACGTCCAGGGCCCGAAATCTTCTCCTGTAAGTCTCAGCATTTATTTCATATTTTGCCAGGATTGCCTCTTTCACTCTCTCATAATCGTCTGACGAATCGATGTCCATAAGCACATAAGCACTGCGTGCCTTACCAGTCAGCAGAGGAATGAGCCTAACTGCCCACTCGTCCTGAGGCCAATGGCAGACATGGGCCATTCTTTCAAAAGTGGCCAGAAAGTGCTCAACATCATCTTCAGGGGACAATGGCAGGAGCTTGGGCTCTGGATGAGTGTGCAGGCCTCGCTGCAGCCTTACTATGCGATGTCCGGATCGGTCCATCTCCCCCTGATCCTCTTCATAGCGGACTCCACTTGCACGCTGCTCCTCACCTCCCGCTTGCTCCTGTTGCTGCTCTTCTCTCATCTCAGTTACCTGGGCCTGGATCTGCCGAAACTGGTGTTCCATATTCCGCCATCTCAACTCTTGGCGGGAATGTTCTTTTTCCTGCTGCTTATCTCTCACGGCTTGTGTCTGCATGAAAGACTTCATCATACTTGTCAGCTCTTCCAGCTGATTACCTCCACAGCTTGCCATGGCCCCTTCATCTGCAGCTGATGGTGCTGGACCCTCCTCGGGTTCTTCCCGTCGCTCATCTCTCTTTCCTCCTCTAGTCATCTTTGCCTCCTTAATCAGGTCAACATCCCACTTCTGACACCACTTGTAAGAATTGACCCTGAGAGCGGCTGTGACCATATAAGGAGGCAGAGGCAGGAGATGAGTTAAACCCACACAGTGGGTATTTATTTGCAGTGTATAAACCAAAAACCAATAAAACACACCATGCTCAGTCCATTGTGCACACGAGAGATTCCCAGCTCAGAGGAAAGCGCTCCCCTATATACCCTCCCCGATTGGGTGCTACCACGTGTAGGGGTGTGGAAAAACTGTAACCAGTTTAATATAACTATTTAAAAAGCACCTACTTAAAATATACAAACCTATGCTCCAGACTAAATCATAGAACCTAATTTCGAGTGTACATTAATCACATACTGTGATCATCCTCCCAATTAAATGTTACACGTGGCACTGTTCACCCCCCATACCCATCTGCCAGTTGGAACCCTCCCGGAACGCTAAAAGGCCGTTTGTTTCCCCGGGGACTCTTTTACATGTGCACCCTGGGAGTGGAGACAGAAAGGCACAGGTAAGTGTTCACAATATTCACGTCAAACTGATTTTAAACTGCACTACTTCCACCTTTTACTCAAGCACACAAATATGCTGAAACCCTCATCCACATCGTGTGCACTGTGTTACAGGTGGTGCGGCTAAATTAACCCCCGGCTACCGGACGAGCTACCGGACGTCCCCGGAGAACACCTATACAAATACACACATACACACACACACACACACCATTAACCAAATCAGAATTAAAGTATTTTGACTGAAATACCTCTGTGGCTCATCATTTGCTAATCATGTGTAGCTTTTAATTTAACAACCCTCAATGTTGTGTCTACCTGCACTATATATATATATCAACACTGCTTAGCTGCCCCAATCCTCAGCTACTCACTGCAGTAGTAACGGAGACAACAGAGGCCTCCGTTACAGACATGCTGCAAAAGGTCATGGCCAGGAGTTGAACCACAAACCAGCAACCTCTATAACAAGGACTGTATCCTCTGAATATGGGACATGCTAACACCACAAGGCCATTAGCATCCCAATTTCAACCAAAACTGATTTTCGATTTGTAAAAAACAACAACAAACAAACTTACAAATGAAAATGATCTATCAATGTGTGTACACAGGCAGAGAAGAAGAAGTGGACTATGAAGAGTTAAAATCTTTAATCTCTGATTTTTCTCTGTTATACAGAAAATGATTGAAAAGCATTATTTATCCATCTGATGTTGATAAAAGTACTGTACTGGTGATTCAGAAATATGACAAGAGAGTTCATTTCTTTCTAAATCTACAGGAGTTTAGATACAAAATAATCAGTAAATGCATTGTTTGAAAGTGTGAGCTTTGGAATCAAACTGTGTAAGGAATGCAGAGAGCAGCTTTCAGTGAACAATTCACACAATCTCAATATTCATCATCATTATACACTAATATAGTTTAAGCACATCCAAATACAAATACATTAACATCAGGCAACAGGGTCTGTCTATCATTGTTTTTACAGACCATCCTGCAAACCCCTCTCAGAATCCATCATGTCTTTATTTCTGCGTTTGAACTTTTTATTCAAAGGCACTCAGAGGCAGTGAGATGGGAGTGTTGTGGAGTTGGAAAAGGTTCATACTGTATTTTTAAATTAGCTTTGAGCCATTAGCCTGAGTTTTTAATCCCACTGGCTCCCTCCGTTCAGCCTGACGATCCAAGCTGGGACTGAGGCCCCTGAGAGCTGCAGACGGCAGGCGGGAAACCCCATTCACTGTCAAAGCTCCACTGTCTATTGGGCAGATATAGTCTGCAGAGTCATCGGGTTTCCTCTTTCTCAGGTGACTGAACTGAGTGAAGCCCAGTTTCTTTGGCTGCAGTAACAGGAAAAATACAGTGACATCAAGGTTACACTTAGATTTGAAATGATCAGAACCAGAGAGATTTAGATTTTTGGATTATCAGAATGTTGTCCTACCTTTACTTTAGCGGTGGTGGTGAGGGGCACATGGCCAGTGGCATTGCCGTACTCTCTCTTCTCTTGAGTGGCCTGAGTCCCAACCAGTGCAGAGAAGGCAGTGGCAAGGTGGCGGCGGAGCAAAGTTTTCTGCGGAGGAATATTTAACAACAGGGCCAAAGTCTCTGCGCTGAAGCGAGGCTCCAGGATCTGTACAGGAGAAGATTTAGACAACACGTGGTAGTAACAAATCACAGTCTGCAGGCATGTTATTGAAGCATGTAATGCTGGTACAACTTAAAACGTACAGGGAGGCTAAAATAGAGACAATAAAGTACAGCACTTACAATCAGCCCACCATGAACCCCACTGCCCCGTAGATTAGGAGCAAACTCAGCCAGATCCACAGCTCTGAGCCACTCCATCACTCGATGGTTAGACCACTGCACCACCTCTGAGGGAGAGGGCTGTTTCTAAAACAGGTAAAAATCAATACACAAATAATCATTTTCACTTAAAAACAGTACCTATCAAATATATGCTAAATGTGAGTAAAAGGAAGCTGTATGAAAAGAAAAATGCAGTTTGAAATCCTTGGTGTTTTGTGTATTTGCTGCCATCTTGTGGGCAGCTGATGGGATAACATCTTTGCATGTCATCTAATGTCAGTGCAATTCGATTTATTATGTGTTATATTTGAAATTACATCAAAAACACAAGACTTTAGACAGCATATATATACAGAATACCTTTGTGTAGTTCCTATTTTCAACATTTACTCACATATCTCCAGTCTGACTCACCTCCTCTCCCGGTCTGCGTCGGAGACAGTTTGGGTTAAACTTGTTGGCATGAAGCACATGGATGGCACATTTAATACTGAGATGATGAAGCTGGCTGGTGACCTTTAATGTCAAGAGGTCATTCTGTGCAAGGAGAAAAATCTACCATTAAACTTGGTAACAAGTAATCACAGATGAAATTAAGATGTAAACATGTTAGTTCAGTCTTACCACGGTGAGGTATTGTATCATTCGACCATCCACTCGAGCTTCATGAAACTGGTCTTTATACTGAGGCAAACCGATATCATCCAGCCAACCTGAAAATGACAAAATGAGACATTAATTCACGTCAATGCTGCCTGACAAACATACTTAATGGAGATACTCAGTCTTATGCAGCCCTGGAGAAAACCAGCTACTGTATTTTTAATCTTTAAATATTTCTACAAAGGCTGTCAAGCAATTAATATTCAAAATGGTAATGAATCATTTGGTTGACCACAGTTAACTGTGATTTATCACAGAATAACACTTGCTATGTTATTCCTATTGAACATTTGCTTGGAAAAATCTTGGCACTTGTAATTTTGATGTTGTTTGAAAAACTCATGGAGGTCATGTTGGTGACTAAAACAAATAATTCCATATGTAATGTCTACTTAATATAAGAAACATATCCTCTAGACTGCTAAAACACTGTATTATAAAACTTTCTTGTCTGATGTAAATACATGTTGCCTTGATGTGACATTTAAACACATACTGACAAGTTACTTCTTCTTCTACTTATTATTATTATTATTATTATTATTATTATTATTATTATTATTATTATTATTATTATTATTATTATTATTATTATCATTATTATTATTGTTTTAATCATTATTTACCTATAGCTTATTCTCCTTTTTCAGGATTTCATGGATTTTAACACTGGGTTACAGTTATTGATTCTTGAGACCGATGCAGATATTAGGTTTGATTTAGCCAAGCTTTGAGACTTCTTTGAGACATTTGGACATACTATCACCTCCAGAATGCATTTTTGTATACTTAAATACATTTGGCTGGGATTTACATTTTGTTTAAAACTTTGTTGGATAAGTGCATAACAAAAACAAAAAAGAGAAGACAAAAAAAAAAAAAAGAAAAGCAAATCAAGACAGCACCTAAACTCTAGAACAACGACTCCTATTGTTACAAAGGTGATGGGACATACATAAAAAGAGAGATGAACAGTATTCTAAAACATTGTTATTGATTGGATTTAATAATTTAGTTGTTTCATGTCTTTGAACATAGCAGAGCTAACATTTTCCCCCTCTTTTTTAAGGTTTTTTTTAAACATGTAGAAGCTGGTCCTTGATAACCTTGTCTCCATTTCTTCATACATTTCTACTAAAATTTCTACTTTTTAAAATTATTATTGTTTTTTTTATGCCTGCCCTTCACATCATTATCATTTGCTTCCTGGTTTGCCACAACATGGTCAAGGGTCAAAATCTCAGAACACCTGTTTACCAAACAGGTATCATGTCACACACTTCTTTGTGTGACATGACAACTGTTAATTTATTTTATAAATCTTTAAAAAAGCATGCAACCTGAAGTGTTCAATATATTACAGACAAAGACAGACTTACGTGTGACCCAGATGTGGTCCAGCTCTGACGATTTCTCTACTACTTTAGTGGTGAAAGCATTCAGAGCCAGCTGCAGCTTCTTCCTGTGCAGAGGGTGTTTCATCCCCATCTCCTGAGGTCATTTGGGATGACATTGATTATACAATCAGCGTGAAAATCATTTAAAATAAGTCACAATGCCTTCACAGGATTGATTCTTTTTTTTTATTTTCTGACCTTCTCAAAGTCCTGGGGTGTAGCAGACAGGAGTGTTTGTCCATTTTCAACCCACTGTCTGGTGAGACTGACATACTGGCCTAGTCCATAGTCCTCTAACCAGCCACACACCTGCTCCTTGGTCCACTGGCTGAATGGAATATTCATATCACTGAAAACAACAAAACACATCAGACATTCAACAAAGTTATTGCAAATATTTAAATGACCCCCATCATTCATCAATCACACCCAATAAACCTTGAATCTCTTTGAATTAGATTAGGACTGAGAAGCAGATTCAGAGAGGAGCACCCTTACCGTGCTGAGTTATAAGATTCAGGGCTCCTGGTTAGTCTGGGTCCTGCTGTGGCACGAAGTCCCCCTCTTCTGAACTGACCACCATCTGAATCTGCTGCCTGGAGCCCCCCAGACTGGGTTCTTCGAAGTCTGTTTGAATGATCAGTTTTTTAACTGTTGAGCGCAACGTAAAATCCTTTGATTCTCAAAGTTTCAGTGGAGTGAGTGGATTTATTAATTTGCACGTCTAATGGAAACAAACGTGCCAATGGGAAGACATGAAATTTGTCAGTCCCCTTTCCGCCGATCAATCTGATCATTGCTTGAGAGTATTAACCAATCAGAATCAAGCATTTCACATTGTTGAACAGATGCACATTACCCAAACTCCATGTTAATACAAAGTATACACTTCACTCACAATTTGATTTATGATTGTATGGTTGCTTTTGCACTCACAAATGTATGTGTGTGTGTGTGTGTGTGTTTGTGTGTGTGTGTGTGTGTGTGTGTGTGTGTGTGTGTGTGTGTGCATGCGTGCGTGCGTGCGTGTGTGTGTGTGTGTGTGTGTGTGTGTGTGTGTGTGTGCGTGCGTGTGTTTGTGTATTTTCCCACTCTTACTTTCCCCACAGTCTCTTGAAGCTCCTGTTGTTCTTCATGTATTCTGGTGAGCCAATGGCTCTCTGGCCCGGCTGTGTATTTGCTCCAGAGTGAAGGGGGGAATTATCACTGGAAGTGCTGTCTTCAACTTTCTCCAGCTTTCCTTTAAGAGGTCACAAAAAAAAAAAAAAACACAGTCAGTGTATAGATTATGCAGATACAACTAGTGGACTGTAGAGGGCGGCACAGATCCAGAGTTTTAGAGATGGAAATTCAATATCTGAACTAATGAGTTGTACTGCACATTTTACAGTATTTAGGAGAAAATGTTTTTATCTTTGCAACAACTACTAACCTTCACTCTGCATCTTTGATATATTATCTAGACTTTATGAATCTTACATTTTCTAAACAGATTATAACTTCAGCTTTGGGAAACTGGATAAAAATTATTATTATAAAAAAAATTCTCTCTTATTCATTAATTTTCCAGCATAAAGACTTATGTCAACTTAGATGTTACAGAAATCAGTGTATCCACAGGACCCAGCAGGCTGCTCAGGGTTACATAGCCAAGCAAAAACCCCTGACTGATGGGGTGTGTAGATATCACTATGTGGAATAATTTACCAAAATTTAAAGCTGAAGCACCAAGTGAGGCCACTTTTAAAAGACTACTAAGCTATATATTCAAGGGGGTTGATTTTAACTTGACTGATGTAATGTCATGTTGCTTGGCACTAGTTTACAGGAGCTCTTTAACATGCATTAGGTGTTTTCTTTGACCTGTGTTGTATTTGAAGTTGTTGTGCTCTATTTACATATTGTTTGTTGTGTAATGAGATTATTTTTATGCCGGTTGAATGTTTTGTTGAATTATATGTATGTTTTGTATATTATGTTTATTGGATGAGGACCCCAGGGAAAGAAGCTGCTGTATTAGAAGCGGCTGATGAAGACCTGAATAAATGAATCTGAGTCGAGGATTACAATAAATGAATAAATAAGGAAACCCGTATAAGACAGTGATGTTCCAGATGTAAAAGACCCATCATAATGAAGCATACAAAATAGGACACTGTGACTGTACTGGTAAATGTGATTTTTTTATGACAGACAGAGAGGACTTTGGATGAGAATAAAACAGCCAACAAAGCTGACAAAGTGACAGATTGACACTTTGGGCATTGAAAAAAAGTAGATGTGCAGCAATCTAGTATTTTTTGACCTGTTGGAACAACGAGAAATGTAGAGTGATATGCTGCCAAACTAAAATAGATTGTCGTGGTGAAGTTCACTTAGTTTTTCACATGAAGCAGCAGATAAAGATATTGGTCAGGGGGCTTTGTTTCAACCAAAGGTAGATGTTGAAACAGTCCTACTTTTTACCAAGTATCACAAAGTCTTAACCTCTACTTGAGAAAATATGGAACAGAGTTTGCTGATTCTGCTCAATTTCTCGTTTCCTGTAGTTGAGGTAACGTTACAGCCAAATCTTGATGATGATAAAGACTGACTAATTTTCTATCAGCATACCAGACAGAACAGATCCAGCAGACTAAACCAGCTCAGTACTATAGATGTGGTCTGACTTTACACAGAGCTCCATTCAGGAGAGAGAAAGCAAAGTCACAGACCATCAAGCTCAGCAAATAATTCATTGGTTAATGCCCCATGAAAATGACCGAGTTTGAGCTACGTTTTACAAGGTGTGATCTTTATGATATGAGCTGCAGTCATTCAGATCCAAAGCAGAAAGCTGAGGAGAGAAATGAGGGTGAGGCTGGAGCTAAAAGTGGACAGTGAAGCTGAGGGAGGGTGGAGCTGGGATGAGTGTGGTCAGTCAGAGCAGAGGAGAGGGTGTGTTTGGTAAGAAAGTCTATCCCATGATCCATCTGCTCTGTCAGAAGCCTCTGAAATTAGCTGTGATCAAAGCACGGTGGTGGTCTGGCCAAAGAGGTGTGGTGAGCTCCAAATATGTCTGCTGCCTTTGCTAGAGGGAGTGACAGGCCTCAAGGCTGCTCCAAAGAAAAACACATCTCTGCTCTCGATCAGGGGTTATTACTCCACATTATCCATCATGTCATTATTAACTCATGTGCAGCTTGAGTTCATGTGTCCTGACTTACTCTGACTGGAGTCGCCATCTTCACTCCCATCTGGGGACCTTTGACCCTGGAGTTCACTGCTGCTCTCTACGGTCCCATTCTGCTCGGACAGAGAGGAGTTCACAGGCAGCGTCTGACTCCTGCTGTCACCCACAGCACTCTGGGTAAATAGACGAGATAATCAGCGAAGACAAAATTAGCTAAACCAAGCAAGTATTTTGGTGAAATATATGTATAGGAAGGGTAATAACAGGAGTATTTTATGAGTTTACTGATCCATTATTCAGAACAGTGAGGTGGCCTATTAGTTTATGTAACTTGCTGCTCTATCCACTGCTCTGTCTCTCAATAAAAGCCCCAAAATAAACTCAAAAAGTACCTTTTGTGAAGGTTCATTAGTCAGGTCGTTCATGCTGCTCGATAAAGTCTGTGATTCAGTTCTGAGATGTTAAAAAACAACAAATAAGTCAGTTAGATGAAATCCAAAGACACTGGAGATATTCACTCATATAAAGCTGGACCACTACCTGGAGTCACTGTCCTTCTGCACTGATGAAGCCGATGTCTGATGGGAGGAAGAACTGTTTGTGGAAGTCTATGAATGAATAAGAAATACATTTTATTAATGTAGCCACTTACAAGAACAGGCATCACAACATGCTTTGCAGTAAGGGGTCAAACAACTCTAAAACAGACAACACATAGAAGCACACTTAGAGAAACCAGCCAAAGCAGGTCTTTCTGTTCCAAAGAAGACATCAAGATTAAAATACACAGTATATACAAACTAAACAAAGTATGTCTAAGCAGACAAAACCCTTAACTGATTAACTCATAATGATTTCATAAATAAAACCGCACAAAAAGTTAAGCATAAAGAAGTAATGAATTGATTCTTGCACCTTTGAGTGTATCACAACTGCATGTGTGCAGCAGCTGTGGTTATGCAGCAACTGCAATAGGGCTGCTATCATTGACTATAGGCATATAACTCTTGCATGTTTAATTTGAAGCTTACATAACAGTTTGGCAATGGCACCAGTGATCAGGTCTAAAAGTTTAAACTGTCAAACTGATTAAACACTGAATTTAAGAGTTACAGTAACTTCCTGTTTTATGGTGAGACATCAAAGTTGATGAACTGATACTGCAACACTTTTTAAAGGTACAAAAACTCCTTTAATAACTTTCAACTTTCAATGTGTTGCTGTGGGCTGAGTGGACAGAAGCCTGAATCACTAAAACAGACATGTAACTGAACTTTCTGTTCTTTATGTTAAGATTAGTGGGTGGATCCAATAGAATGAGAAGGCTTGGGGGGCACTGTTAAGCCACTGGTGACTCAAAATCTCCAGATATTAAACTGTCATTAGGCCTGATTCATGTGTGAAGTTTAGTAAGTTTTAGGGCATGTTGAGGGCCTGAGCTTGGGCTCATTTAGGGAGGAAGGAAGGAAGAAGGAAGGAAGGAAGAAGGGAAGGAAAGAAAGAAAGAAAAAGAAAGAAAGAAAGAAAGAAAGAAAGAAAGAAAGAAAGAAAATTCTTCAGGGTTCTTTTAGCACTTTTGCACTGCTAGTCTTGTACTCCTCAGGTTGTAAAAGTTTCATGGATAACAAAAAACATGATGGTTGTGTCATCGGATGTTAAGAAAAATATTCTTTTGTTTTGAGGAACAAAAGATATTGTCCAGAAAGACTAAGAGAGAAAAGTTTCTCAGGACTGAGATAAACAATAACAACAACAACCTCATTTACAGAGACCAAAAACAGATCATGCTTTCTGGAGACAAAAAATTTGGTTGCATTTAGTGACAAAAAAAAAAAAAAAAAAAAAAAAAAAAAAAAAAACAACAACAACAAAGGATCCTCTTTCATGGAAAACAAATGTTAGATGTAAAGCAACCATGTTTGTGCAGACAGAAAAACTGAAAAGATAACAATATCTTTATTTTCTTTTCTTTTTAACTTTATGACAAAAACTAAGATTTTGATTATGGAGATCAAAGATATTAACTTAAAGTTTGTGTTTCAGTTTAAAAAAAAAAGTCTCCAACAAAAAGTGATGATGTCCGCAAACAATACACTGAAAAGCTGACGTTTATTCAGAGTTAAGTAGTAAAGGGAATATCTCCAACAAAGATCTAAGTTTATGTACCTATTCTTGTGGACGAAGCCTAAAATGATCAACCAAAAGACAACTGTCTTTACCCACCTCAGACTTCACATCCTCAGATTTTGCACTTGCTGAGTCGGCACTCTTCATCGGGCCGTGCTCTTCCTCCTCGCTGCTGCTCGATGGAGTCCTGCCATTGGACAACGAGCGAACAGCAGGAGGAGCTGCAGTAACAAGAACAAAAAGTGTTTTCCCCTTAAGTCAAGAATGTTTGAGTTAAGAGAGAAAAGAGGAAGCGTGGTGGCTGACCGTTTGCTCAGAAACTGTTATGACATAAATGAAAGGACAACGACCTGAATGAGCTGGTTACCTTGCCTCGTGTTGTGGGTGACCTCTCTGAATTGTCTGCACTGGTTCAGGAGCAGAGTGAGCTCCTCTATACGTCGGTCCTGAGGGAAACAGAGAAAACTGAGAGGGTTTCAAAGCCAAAAAAAGCCCAATAATAATGTCTATCTGAGGTTAAAAACACACATATGGACTATCTGCTTCACCCAGTTACTGACCGATATACCACACAAACGTCTCTCTTCTACCATACGGCCTTTACATCAAAGTGTAGGGAGGGGATTAACACAGGCCTGACTGGGAGTCTTAGTTGTGGTAACCAGCTGCGTGGAGAGTGTGTGTGTTTTGAAGTGGTGCCCAGGCCTGGTTTTGCCATGGTTCTCTTAATGCAGTGCGCTCCGAAATTAGGCCTGGCAGGTCCAGGCCTACTTAAGTGTGGCTTTGCCCGAAATGGCTCGCCTTGGGGTGTGCGTGTGTGTGTGCACGTACGTGTGTGTCCTCTCTGGTGTGCCACATGTAGAGCTGCGTCTGTAAGTCTTTAAAGTCCAAACTACTCTGGGAGGAGAAAACAAAAGCTCCTCTGTACTATAAACGGTGGGAGGGCGGGGCCTCTGAGAAATGACAACATCTAAAACGAGTTAGCCTCTAACCTTTTAAACAGCAGTGGTGATGGCAGCTCTATATACGGGCCAGTGGGACACTTTGCATTGTAGTAAACAGATGACAGCACACACGCTGCTAAATCACACACAGCTGTGCTGACCGGGACGAGAGTGGATGTGTTACCTTTTCATCATTGGCTGCTAACAGTGATTTCATCCCACTCCTGAGCTTCTGCAGCTCCTGATCTAGAAAGAGAAACCCCATACTTCTTATCAGTTTGCACAGACATTATGTAAAGCAATGTTTTATATGAAGAGAAACATTTATTTGGTACGGTTATTTGGAAGGAAAGGAAAGGCAAAAATACATCCTCTCACTTTGTAATCTAAACCCTGTATTTTCAGATCCACTCCAGCCCTTTTTTAATCAGCTAATCATAGCTTTAGTCATGTCAGCTGTATATATTTGGGTCCTCAGAGCACAGGCACTTTCTTTGACACAACTGCAGGCATACAGGCTGCATTGCTGTTGAGTGACAGTAATAATATACTTAGCTAGACCTCCTGGGAGAGCTTTATCTCCAGCAGATGAAATTAAGGACAAACAAGACTTTATGTTTTGAATCATGCAGCTAAAGGGAAAGGAGAGGGAGTGCATCGAGAAATTTTGGGGACAAGTTGTTGATTGGTAAAGCTGCTCCTTAGAGCAAAAGGAAACAAAAGATAATGAAGTAAGGAGACGTGTCTGGAGAAAAGAAAATTATTTATTGATCAAGAGTAGACATAGCCTGTGGGTTTATAATGATTTTTTGTGAACTATTCAGGCTTACATTGAGTGTTTAGCCTCTTACAGCACATCTCCTCTCAGAGAGGCGACAGGGACGGCAAATTAAGGGCAGGGCCTTCCCTGGAGCTGTGTTTGTACGTTAATGAATGCATAAAAGAGTCATTGACTGTGTCACCTATCAGGCTGGGTAACTCTGTCAGTGAGAGGATGTGTTTCGGGTATTTTGATGGAGGGTTTGATGCTTTACTTACCTCTCTCTGAGCTCTCAGCGGCTAAAGAGGGTCTGGCCAGGAGCTGAGTGTGCAGACTCTCGATCTCAGCGTTCTTGCAGAGCAGAAGCTGCTGGAGGCTGCTGATCTCTGCCTGGTGCCACACAGAGAGAAATCATAGCTGTGAGGACATGCATCTCTGCATAAATGCACTGCATGTGCCAAAAGATGCCTGTTAAAACATGCACTGCAGAGGCTCCTAGACATTCACCAAAACAACACATGTACATGTCTCTTGATTAAAGTGCCAGCACATGTCCTCACTTGTAATCTAAATTTAGTGAGGCATAAATGTTTTTTCCTCGCCATTATATACATCTTCACAGGAAACAGCCACAACAAAGCACAGGATGGCTCAGCACTGAGCTTTGGGGAGTAAAATTTCAGGCTTTGGTTCTGTCTTTTTAGTTGGTTTTGAAGTAAACAGAAGGAAGAAACAGATGGCAATAAAGTGAAGTTCAAGATGATATGTTTACCAGCGAGTTCTGACTGTCTGATGTGTAGAAAGAGAGGAAGGTGTGAAAAGCACTTTTCTCCTCGTTTAACAAATTGTAACCCTTACTTTTAACTTTTAAAATCTAAAATTAGTGATTGACATATGGTAATAGGACTCTGAACTTTTTGCATAAGCAGCACAAAAACTGTTTGGAGAATACTTCAGTAAATTTCAGTATCTTCAAAATTAATCCCACCATGCAAACATCTTGATAATCTCATGATCAGGCTACTCTAATATAACTTTGGTTATGATAAACAGGAGGAATTAAAAGTAAAGTTTAAAAATGTCTTCTGAACAAAGTAGGTAGGTAGGAAATTAACAGCATGTGAAACAAACAGAAGGCCATTGTGCTGAAAGAGAGACATTGGAACAGAGACAGGGACAGATGTTGAATTAATGGAGGAGATAATCTAATCTCTGAGAAACTGGCAGAGCATTTTGCCAAAGAATACATGTCGGGTGTTAAAACAAGGACTGAACCGTAATCGTATCTGATCCTACAGCACTTGAAAAAGAAGGTAAAATGACTCTCAGACTTCCTGAGAAAACAAAGGTGTCTGAGAATCACATAGAGAGCAAGAGTGCGTAAAAACAGACCGACTCACTTCACTGCCTGGAACATTGGATTGGACAGCTTTTTGGAAAGTCGAGTGGACAGTTAGTGGAGGAATTTGGGCAATGATCTCAGAGTCTAGACTCGGTGAAATTCAGAACTTTCTGTTCACCTTTGTTGCTTTGAGTTTCTTCTCATACTCGAGCTTCTGGTCCTCCAGGTTCTCCACTTTGTCCTTGAGAATCCTGAGCTCCTTTAGCAGGCCCTGCAACAGAGAAGTAGGTGCAAATCAAGCTAGTTTAAATGCCCGGGTGGTGCTAGCACCAATGCTAAAGCTAATGCTAGCAATCCAACTTGTTTTGTTTTCTAACAAATTTAAATTTTTACTGCACCAAATCATAATAACACACAAAAGTAGCACCAACTTGTAGCTGATGCTTGTCAACCTTGATAGCAAAATTAATTCGGCCCATACTTGGACCACATGATAATTCTTCTGCCCAAGTATGGTCCATACACGACATGACTGACAGGTCAAATGGTAGTGGGTCTGACCTGGCCTATTATGTTAATTACAGTGGAAAAGGGTTGTGGTCCAGTTATGGGCCACAAACTGTCTATTTAAGTCATTATCATTTGGGTCACTTTTGGACCATACACTACATGCTAATGCTGGTAACTCTCAATGTGTTTTATTATTATTTTTATTTTTTTGCAAAAAAAAAAAACATTTTGCATGGCATGTCATGCACTCATGTTATGTGATCATGACAACATTTCTCTCAAAACAGAAGAGCAGGCCATTGCATGAGCTCAGTATAAGCTGGGCCTCAGTGAAGAGTGCAAAGTCCACACTCAACCACGCAACCTATTTGCAACTTCCCTATCGCTGTAAGGTAAGAGAATACCAGCTGGTCTGAAATGAAAGCAGTTTTTGAACTCTGTTTCAAATCAGAAATTACATTCAAACATGCTTTTTGTTGACTTATAGGCATAGCTGATACAACCCATGGGTGTAGAGGGACTAATTTACCCTCTATTGGCCAACTCTTTGTAACAGTGGTAAGGAAAATGTTCCCTTTTCTGGTCAGAAACCTCAAGCAGAACCAGACTCATTGGTGAGCAGCCATCAGCCACAACTAAATTGAACTAAATTTGATGAAAATGAAAAATTAGTTGTTTCACACCACAATGCATTACAGCTATATAAGATTAACTCTGTAGACTGGCCAAGATACTGGGAGACACAGAGCTTTCAGAGGATTTGTCAAGCGCCTCTTGTATTCATATCTGAACCGTATCAAACTGCAGTGACACAACCCATGCGGCACTCAACACCACACATCATGCAGGCGGGCCGTGCCTACACTTTCTCCTCCACACTGGTCCTCATGCTCTGCATCCGAGCCAGCAGCCTCTTCCAGGCTTGGTGTGCTTCCATCTGGCTCCTCTGAGGCTTCCTCCTCTTTTTGCATAACCCCTGAGGTCATGTCGCAGGATGGCTTGGGGTTTGAGCCCTGATCCTCAATGGACTCATCCAGACTATCTCCTAGAGTGTTGCTGTCAACAGGAATCTCCAAGGCTTTTTTCTCCTGGATCTTGCTATTGATCTCCTCCTGAAACCTACACATCTGCTCCTGCAGTTGACTTATGAAATTCACTACAGTCTGACAGAGACAGGAGGGGAAGATAGAGGGGAATATTTAGAGAAAAGAGGTGCTGGAGTATTTTCTCATTTGTGTTTAAAGACATCAAAGTGGATTTTTTTTTAATCCTGTTGTCTTTAGCTCACGTCTGTTTGATATTTCTAAACTAGGAGAGTATGAACTTGGGTTTCAGCCTAAATACATCAACATGATCCTGAATGTGTTTAAAAATGGTGATTCTTTGGCTCTTCTACAGAAATACAGGGCCAGTTCTTCTCATCTGGTCTGAATAAACATGATGTTCATCAGAGCCGTAACTTCCCTTTTGCTTGTTCGGCCAAATGTGTATAAACATCGAGCCGCGCCATCTTCCTAAATTCTTGTATATCCACTTTATCCAGTGTTTGAGTTGATCATTTCCATGATTGGTGATGGGTGGGCGTCTTTACTGTGTCTTTTAGAGGTGATTTGTTCATGCCCAGTGTCCCCTCAGAAAGATTGTAAACAGCAGCCCAGTTATGCTCGGACTGTGGACAGAGGAAGTCTCACTCTGAGTCCGGAGCAGCGGATATGACAGATGATATGGAGTGCCTCCACAGCTAAATTTAACTTTGAGTTTACAGCGAGGAGGCTTTAACACACTGTGCATGTGTGTGTGTGTGTTTGTGTGTGTGTGTGTGTGTGTGTGTGTGTGTGTGGTGACATGTTTGTGTTGTAGAGGCAGCAGCACGTGGGAGGCCTGTAAAGTGTTCAAAGCAGATTTTTTCCGATTCTCCTTAAGTCCAAGCAGCTGTTGGAGGGAAAGTTGTTTCTGTGCACGAGATGAAAGCAGGATTAAGAAGTGCTCTAACACTGTTGTCAACATAAAGTCGCCTATTTGTGCCATTTCTGTCTTCTTAAAACTACAAACCAAATCCCTATAAGCCCAGCACAACACAGGTTTCACTTTGCATCTTTTGTTCTGTCCTTTGTATGTGCCATTTGTCTTAAAGGATGTGTTTCTAGTAGAGGAGGGGTCCATTTCCTCAACCTTCACCCATCACCAAGTACAGAATTATCTGGGCTGAGTCCCACACACACTCATATTTGGCCCGCCATCCATCATGCCAGCTCTGTTACGACTGAACTCTCTTAACCTGAGGACACAAAGACTCTTTGACTACTGTTGTTTTGACAGTAACTACATACATTACAGTATCCTGTCTGCTTCCCCCTCTCTCCTATTCATACACTCACCAAATGCCCCAAATGTCAGCTGGTAACCAGACACATCAGGCTAAAGTAAATACATGATTCAATTCAAACTGACTAAAAATTTAAACCCCTTGGAGACATTTTTTTCCTGGAGACTTTGCCCAGGAACAACAGCAGAGCCAGGGTTCGGGTGAATATTTCCCTCCATCAGTCCAGTTAGTGTTTATGGTCTTCCATAAAATCAGCAGCTGACTTCAAGGTTAAATCCATCAGAGCACAAGGCAGATTTTTGTGTGCTTCCTTGTCATTCCTGGCAGAGCTAGGTGCAAATTTCCAAAAAATGAAGTTGCAAAAATCCAGAGGGCTAAATCCCCTTCCACAGAAGTCCATGGTGAAAGAAAATGTGTGGTTATACAGTTTGAGACAATTACACTTACTAACCAAACCGGTCAATACTGTGGGGTTTAACTTGAAGTTTTTAGTTGGACTGAGGTAAATGAAGGCTTAATCTGCGCTTCATGGTCCAACTGGAACTACTCAACAAGGCAGTCTTATTATAACAAGTACAAATCTGCTTAAAATAAGTCTACACAACCACACATACTCTACTACACTGAGTGGAAACACTTCCAAACAAAAGGTATGCTCACATTTGTCCCCCTTACCTCTGCTTTGTGCTGCCGTTCAGCCCCGTGGTTCTGTTTTCCCTCCATGTCTGCGAGCTTTATTTTCAGGTAGGACACCTCCCCCATAAGACTCAGCTTCTGGTTCTCCAGGGACGTCCTATGCAGGAGCTCCTGTCATCAACAGCACACAGCAGGAGCATGAAGCAGCAGCCCAAACAGACGCACAGGTTAACACATTATCCCCTGCAGTAATACTCCATACTTACTGGACAAAGGCAACATTAAATGTGAGGCAGAGTGAACCTCCAGCTCTGTAATGACGGTCCCCTTAGACAAACCCTCTGGTTTCAGACGCTGTTTGAGTGGCTAAATATACACAACCCATGACCACTATTTATAATGCCTATTTCACAGCTCACTCAAAGTACACAGCAGAGGGGGGAGAGAGAGAGAGAGAGAGAGTGAGGGGGAGATTTACCAAAAGCATGCAGACCATTCAGAGAAAGAGCATTAAAATAACTTTAACAGGTGCATTTTCCTGTCAATATGAACGGCTGTCAGTCAAACCACACTGGGCTAAAGATCCACTGCACAGTCTGGGACTGTCTGTAATGACTGTCTGTCAGCTTTGAGGGTTAAACCATGCTGGGCAGGCACATGTATAACTAATTTGGCTGATGTCAAGCAGGTGCTAAATCACTTAAAGTCTAGAAATGAGCATCGGAGGAAGGCAAACAGTACATATAGACACATCCATTTAAAACCCCAGCTTTGGAAAATATCTGGGATCCTTCTACAGTGCACATGGAAAATATTAGAGCTTTGTCACCAGGAAGAGATTTACGGCTCAGGTCCAAAGCCTCATAATGACCACGTCTCCAAGAAACCAGCCCTGACTGCCCTTTGATACAGAGCACACATACAGTGCTGCACATATAGAAGTCAGGCACAGAGTGTAAAGTTTGCAGCTCGTGAAATTAGTCAGAATACGTGACAACAATCAGGTTTAAATGGAAAAGAAGTAGCAGTGAAAGAATGAGGAACATGTGGTCTGTGAAATACCTGGTTCATTTGACTCCAGTGTCTGCCAGCAGCAAAGGAAGAGTAAGTGTTTTTCCCTCATGGATGTGCCAGCTTTAAGTTCCCTGTATTAAAATTTCATGGATCCAATCCTTAAGAGTTATTCCTAAAGTTTAGCTGAGTCCTTTTTGTAGAGTGGAAGTCAAAGAAAAACAGCTAAAGTAGCAGACATGCACTTCTGACTCTTACAGTTGCACCACCCCTATTCTTTCTCCCTCCCATCTCTCCACCTTTCTTCAATTTGACTCTCTTACTCATTTGTCCCCTTCTCTTTTCCTCTGTTTGTCCTCTCTCTCTTTCAGCAAGGGTGTGTATGTGTGTGTTTTGTGCACATGCACGGACTGATTCACGTAGGTTACAGGTTGGGGGGCGTGGCTAACGGCGCTGTAATCACCTGCCCAGACGGACCAGTCTGGCCCTGCACAAACCAGAAATATGTACGCTCCGAAAAAGCTGCCCTGGGATGAGTCTGGGCTTCCTAAATATTTTTTGTTGTCAAGGTAATCTGCTGCCAGATATGCTGGAATTTCTCCCCGGGAAGAAGAACTCATCCATGGTTAGATTCTGCAGTTTATGAGAAAGGATTGGATCTGCAGAGGGATTTTATTCAGAAGATGGATGCACGGTCTGGGGGCACTGACACAATGCAATAAAAGGAAGAACAATATTGATTTAAAAGCTCTGAATGTCTCCAGGGGGAAGTCAGAGTTTCCTGATTTTGGTCCAATAACATATGAAGCACGTGGTATCGAGAAAGACTGATGCACACAGTGTGTTGATCTGAGGTGTAAAGCTTCTTACTTGCTGTAGCATCTCCTCAGTGGAGTCCAGTTTGAGCTGATGCTCCACCAGAGAGTTCTCCAGATCGTTGATCTTGGCTCCCTGAGCCTCCACCTGGTCTGTCAGCACACTCACCTGCGTGTGTGTATTTTTGTGTGAAGAGAAAAAGTTAAAAAATCAGATCCTATTCTATTACACCAAAACTCCAAACCAGTGTTTGGCTGGAGCTCTTATGACCTCAGGTTCACTCCTTCAACGCCAAGTTTCTTTCCAATTAATACAGACTATTTCCATATAATTGCCGTGCTGAATTTTGTTGGAATTTCCTCATAAGTGCCAGATCAAACATCTCTGTTCAGAAGAAGTGAATGAACCTTTGTGCCTTCCTAGCTTGTAACACTCCAGTGGGTCCAGCATGGTCAGCAGAACTCAGTTTAAATGTAATTCTGCTGAGAAACCATTAAGGCCACATAATAGCTTATCACATGCTAAGAGGCAGCTCCAAGCAGCCAACTGGAGACGATTTTCTGCAGGAATGTTTTATTTCGTGAGCCTGAAACAAACAGAGCACCTGCTCTTACACACACACTCACACCTACACGCTAGAGCACAGCAAGGCGGTGCTAGCCCCAACCTGCCTGAGATAAGCACTTATTTAGACAGGCTGATAAATGAACACACACCTACACTCTTCTATATACTGGCCTGACACATCACACAAAACCAGACATTCTAGTGTTGTAACAACGCCAAACCCAGCTCTGTAACTGTTGCTTCACCCTTTACGCAACATTTACAGCGCAGAGCTCTGCTACCTTTGCCCTTTCTCACCTCTCGTCTTAATGTGATATGAGTGCTGCTCAGAGTCAGTTCCAGCTCACACTGTGGTGTCATATGTCCTCTTTTATTTGACATGGCTCATGTCCAATTTTCACTTTTATGAATGGATGTTTAGGCATACTGCCACTTCAGCAACCATATTAATGTCTGTATTGATCTTCTTAAGAATAGACAATACTTTTTTGTGGTTCATGAAAAGAGTGACTAATCTCACCTGCAGAATGAGCGACTCTTTGTCTCCCTCCAGACGTGCTAACCGGTCCTGGTAGGACTCTTTACTGCCAGGTGAATGGAGGTTAACCTTCAGGATAAAGATCAGCTATTAAGTTCAGTCAAAGCAGAGCGATTGCCCAGTGGGTCAGATTTGCAAGCTCATTCACTCGCACACAAACCCTCTTTGTCAGATGTTCCTGTGGGTGAAAATCTGTAAGAAGTTTAGAAATCCTAATCCAGCATTCAGAGTTTTGCAAATTGAACTGAGGCTGATTAGTGGAAAAGGAAAAAAAACTCTGGTTAAAGGCTGAGCTCAGGGTTGACAGTGTAATGAGGGATATTTCAGAGTATTAAGTGTGCAAGGGGAGTAATGGGCAACCAAATTGGCTCAGATGCTCAGCGATTCAGGCTGTCAACCACATCCATGGAAACATTATGTAGCTCAGTGTGTCAGTCATCCTGAGCCAGCCTGCTGCAGTGATTTCCAATGGTTTAAACAGTACCCTCAATCCTTTAATTTTCTGTAAACACTGCATCTGTACATTTGAGTTGTTCAGAAACATTAAAATTTACTGTATTTATGTGTACATACTCTAAACGCTGTTGAGTGCTATCACAGTCATTACTTCAACAGAAATGTTGATAGCTCTTAGGAACAGGGGATCTTCTTGAGGAACTCTGTGCTTTTGACTGCAGGAAATAGGGTCTAAATTTAGTTCTAGGGTACAAAATCTGCCCCTTGAAAAGCATGGGGTGTAGTACTTCCCAATGGCCCAGGGACTTTAGGAGGCAGGGCCTGACAATTTCATTTACATTGAAAAACAGGTCATTCATTTACATGAAAAACTGGCAGTACACAAACACAGAGGAGGGAAGAAAGATTCTGGATTATATCCTAGATAATAAAATATTATCTAATAAAACTTTGTATTTTAACTCGGTTTTTGTACTTTTTTTCCATCTCAGTAAATGCATGTGTATGTTGTTACAGATTCAGGGGTTAGTCTCATCAGGAAACAATCTTGTTTACACTATAACCTGGTAAACAATTAACACAGAGACACCAGCTGAGCTGGGAGGAAGTGAAACAGATAGAGGCACCAAAAGGTAATAGCACAAGAGCAAATACTTCTAGTGACCTGGTGTTATTTAATGATTAGCATAGCTCACCTGCTGCCAACATTATGTGAACATTGGTGTTATAGAAAAAAAGTAGTGATTCAATTAAAGAGCTGTGCAAGTCACTTCATTTCCAAATACCATACATGGATACTGGCCTGATTTGCATTATTTACCCTGAACTTCAGGCCCCTGGTGGAAACACAGACAACTCTGGGCCACAGGAACCAATTAAATCCCCTAAAGAGAACTCCTTGGTACTGACAGTTCTGGGTGTTTTACCCTCAGCTTTACTCACAGTAACCTTGAAACATTAGAGCTCCTGAGAGGAGCTTTTTGACATTTATGAAATACATGGAATTTATATTTATGCTGTGCACAGGGGGCGCCAAACTTGACACAAACTCTGAGTTCCTCACAGAAGCCTGGAAAAGTTTTTTTTGTGTGTTTGTTTTGGTGAGGACACATCTTGTTTTTTATTAAAAGCTTTTAGATTCTTGATAAGTCTAAACACATGCATCCCAAAATGAGGCAAAAGCCTCTTGTGAGGTGAATGTTGATGAACAGCACTGAGAACAATGTTGAAAAGTTACACTGACTTTATTATTGTCATCATAACAGATATTCTATCCTTTTTTTTTTCTTTTTGTGTTGAAAGCCTACACAGATGTCAGATGTGATTGAAACTAACAAAGAGTTGTTTAAACAACTTTTGAACTGAGATAAATCAGAACTTATGTCTTGCTTATCACACTCAAATTACTTAAACTGAGAATATGACTTTATAAAATGTTTTATACCTTCAATTCTTCTAGCACTACACAATTCTAAATTCAAAAAGCACCACAATATATTAAGAGTATGTTAAAAAAAGTAACTAAATATTTATCCTCTTTTGACTTCTGTCTTGAGAAGTAAAGAGAAAAGTTGTTGTTGTTTTTTTTTTTTCTCTGACTGTAGATTTATAATGAAGTAGTTCCTCATACATTAACATCGATCTTAAAGTTATCAATCATACTGGCTGACATACATGTTCATGTACAGACTTCCTCTATAACCTTCAGGAAGAGCTGTAACCTCATGGTGGTAGTGAGGACTAATGACTTCTTAATGGGAGCAAGATGCCCATAGGTGTTCAAAGACTCCCTGCAGGTTTAAATGGCAGGAAATGAACTCAGCTGACATGCACAAACATTTATTCTACTCTAAAAAAAAACATTTAGACCAAGTGGGGGGAATTGTCATGCATGCAACAATGTGCCTTTATGTGCAGCACAATGTTGAACCATTTAGTATTTGTTCATTTTTGCCACAGTGTTAAAATACTGGGTTTTAGCCTTATGTGGGAAAAAACTGAATTTGTTTTGAGGGTTAACCAAAACTTGCGTAAGACTCATCCTGCTCTGTAAGTTAAAGATGTTGCCCCAAAACAATGACAAAAAACAGCATGTTCTGGTTAAGCACAGCTGATGTTGTCAAAGCATGAACACTAGCTGTTTTCTCGCTCTTGCTCCCCTCTTTGGGTCCTTGAATAGATTACATATCAGAGTACACATGATGCACATTCTGCAGCACAACTTCTCAACTCAAAAACAAAAACACGTCTTCCTACTAAATTACCTACCATGGCAACCATAATTATGTTGGAAAAGCAACAGCTCTGTGGGAGAAGGACAAACAACTGAGATCCTGGGAGAAAATGTTTGCTGTGGTGCAAATGTATAAAGAGAAAACAAACAAGCAGAGAATATCTTACCTTTCTAAGCCAGGGGAAATGTTTGTAGAAATCAATATCATACTCCATTGTGCAGGCCCATTGTACTGTTGGTCTGGTTCTTGTTGTTACTAACAGAATTTAGCGTGTGCTAAGAGGCATCAAGGGGGATGGACTGATACTAAATCGACAGTAAAGCACAAAACTCTAACTTAAAGCTCTAAACTGGGCAGCGCTCTGGGTCTCCTTGAATTCAACTCTCCTCCCTCTGCTCTCTGTAGTGCAGTTGAGGGAAAGCAGAGAGGACTTTGCTCCGTGTGGTTTGGAGTCTGGGCAGCCTGAAACTTTTAGAGCTCAGCCGAATAACTCAAACTATGCCAGCTGGCTGCACTCCCTTTCTTTCTTCTCTTCACTTTTTTCTACCTCTTCCTAACTCCCCCCTTTTCCCTTTCTCTTGCTCTCTACCTCGACCACTCTCAGACTGCTTCAGTATCTCCTACATTTCTTCCTCACCTCTTAAGCTCTCATCTTTTCTGTCCTCCCTTTCTTTCTCCCTCCTGTGCCTCTCTCTCTTTCTGTCTGCAACCCGGTCTCTCGCTCCTCCTGAAGTGCCTCTGGAGTCAGTCGAGCTAATTTTGCGGGGCTTCCTAAAGGGGCACAGGGGAGAGGAAACTTTCTGCAGCACATGCTTGTCAGATGTGGTGCAAGGCAAGAAGTCAGTTAAGAAGATGCAGAGGGGAAGGAGGAGGCAGTGGGGGAGAGCGAAAGAGCAAGAGTTCAAAAGTGACAGTGTTGAATTTAAGTACAGAAGAAGAGGGCAAATCCAGGGGTCGGATTACCTGAGACGGATTAACACATACAGTATTTGCTGCAGAATATGAAGTATTGAAAGGGCATTCAGGGGTTAAGTAAAAAAGGAAACAAAGGAGAGTTGGACAATGAAAAGAGGCTGCAACTGCTTTGACTTTAAACAGGAGCTCTGGATCTCATTACCGGCGCAGATTGCAAAGTATCCAGCTTCCAACTCCCTTTTTCTTTGCAGACAGGAAAAAGCCCTCCAGATGCTGATGACCTGGATCAAAGACCACTATATCAACTAATAAAACCCACAGGGTCTGCAGTAGGAGCATAAGGAAGACTTTAGTAGTCTATGCCTTGGGTATCTAGCTTAACTGTTTATTAAATTAAGAAGTGGACATAACCATTTACATGTCATCCTGTCACCATGTGGTTCTGAACCTTTGTTTTAGAGCTCAACGTGTCGGCTTCAGCTGCTCTGTTTCTTTGGAACCAGAAAAGAACAAACTGAGACTAGAGTCCAGTCCAAAAAATCTGAGCACTGAACCCTCATGGACCTGAACAGTGTCAAGTCTGCAGTGCATGAGTGTGCAAATCTGTATGGTCTTGAGATGATACAGAAACAAAGAGCAGGATAGTGCACCATTGAATAATAAGAAAAGTCTGTGCATGTGTGCTAAATATGGGAGCTTTCATGTTTTAGCAAACTAACAAAAGCCAGAAAATCAATCACTGTTGATGTTTGTCAAAAGTTTAAAAGACAAACTTTAAATGTAGATTTGAAGTGATCCGCCACACAGAAAAAAATAAATATATATTTTTTTTCATTCACTCTCCATGCTTGTTTTGTTCTTTTAGGTCTAACAATACTGTCACAACATTCCTATTTTTATAGGAGGGGCTAACTGTTTACTTAGTTATTTCTCGTTTGGTATAACTGACCTGGTCATGATTAAGATGGACTTGGCTCATCTAAATGATAGGCGGGCATGTAACCATTTGCCGGGAATCTAAAGATGCACTGTGAGTTAGTTGAGGTCAGCATTTCCAATGTGACAGCTGCTTTCGCTGGTCTCACTCAGTAAAATGACAAAACCTCTATCCATATTTTATACAGTTTGTGTAAACTATAGTGGCTATGTGTATGACTTTTTCCAGGCAGATCTGTGACATATTCATATTCAAATATTCAACATTCAATCACTTAATGTTTTTCATATGCTAAACTTGTTATTGGAATCTTAATTTTGTGTCTCATGTCTGTATTTCCCGTGTGACTGTGCAGTTATTGCTCGAACTATTCTGTATTCATTTCTTGTCTTTCTTACTGTTTGTATTTGATTCTATACTCTTCTTCCTTTTTATGTATGCTGCTGTTTTTGTTGGCCCTGCTTTATGGTCTTTTAATTGCCTTTTGGGGACAAATAAAGATTTCTGAATTTGACTTTGAACATTTTAACAACCTTTGAGGAGACCCGCTCTTTTGTAGTGGTTTCTGGGTCCTTTGTTTTGTGTTTGCCCTCTTTGTGTTACATGATGCTTTCATCCCCGTGTGGAGAGCCTGCAGATGTGTTTGACAGAGCTCTCACCTCATCTTTGTCCAGCCATTTCAGTATGACATGTGCTGTATCAGTGGAGACTTGTTTCCTCAGAGAGTCCTGCTCCTCTTCACTTCTCTGATCCTCCAGCACTTTTCTGAGGGCCTCTGTCAGCTGGAGAGCCTTCAGGGCCGGGTCCACAGGAGGGGGGAGTGTCAGCTGTGCTGAGCACCCTGACGACTGGTAATCCTGGCCTTCCAGTCGCATGAGAGCGCTGAACAGCCCTTCACCCATTTTGCCTGAGGTTATTCAAGAGAAGAGGAACTCAGGAGAAAAGTAAACAGTGAAGTTATTGAGCAAGTTTTATTAGTCCAGCATTCTTATTCTTCAGGCACCTGTGCTGAAAGTTAACTCTCTCTGAGGTCGTCTCCAGCCTGCAGCGCTTTAGGACAATTCCTTACACAACCTCTGGAGGGCACTATTGTGCACTAGTGTGGCTCACAGGATGTAAATAGCATCAAATGGGTGAATACTGTGTGTACACTGTGGGATCTGACATCCACAAATTAGAGGCTGAGCTCTGTGGGTCACTATAATCATAATGTTTCTGCAGAAAGTTTTATATAAGCTGTGTGGAGCTGAAGTAAAGGCAAACTTTAACACAGTATCATGCAATAGTTGAGAACATTTCGACTTGTATTTTCTAAGTTGTTTTCCATGTCGTAATAGTCACAACAGTGTGATAATGGTTTGGCTGTCACTGTCGTCTATTTAAAGAACATTGTTTTCTGACCCCTTGCAAAACCATGCTTGGACTGCTGAGGTTGTGACATATAGCAATGACAAAAATGTATCACCTCTGCCAGAAAAAAAACAGATCAGAAGAGAGTGGAAAATGACTTTTTCTTTTTAATTAGAGCACTGTGAGGGATCAATCCTGAGGAAAAGCTATAAAAGAGCAAAGCCCATCATAATTTCACAGCCTGACTGTGAAGAAAAAGAGATAAAGATTACAGGAAGGTTCAACATGTGCACCTCATAGCAACTTACAGCACATTCCTGCACAAAATATACCGCTCCTTCATGTGCAAAATTCACATACGGTAATATTCCTTCAACTTTTTACAGTTTATTTTATCCCAGTTATTTTGTAACTGCAATGCATGTGAAACACTGAGACAAGCAAAGGTAATAAACCCTGATTCTTATTCCCATTCTTATTTGATTAAAAACCTGCTCAGTGTTGGTTCAGTGAAAATCTCTCAAATAAAACAAAGTGGCTCATCATTCTGAAATGATATGACAAACTGTCTTTTTGCCTTTCGTTTTGATTGTTTTGACCCAGAAACATTCCTGCATTTTTTCCCTCTGCTATAAATGTATATAAAATTATGTGGTCAGTGTCATTCTAGGGAGATCTGTAATTACAAGCTGGCTCCTCTATTGATAATGGAACAGAAACTCTTACCAGCAATAATGTCATCCATTTGCTCTAAGGCAGCCTCCAACATGTGGCTGGCATTTGACGCCATGGCAACACAGCAATTTACACAGCGGCAGAATAGCAGCTCCTCGTTCACCAGTCTGAAGTAGAAAAAGTGTTAGCTGGTGGCCTGAGAGAGAGAAAAAGTGAGAGGGATCTTCACAGACTACTCCCCCTCTGTGTCACACTCAGATCCTCTCGCAGCAAAGTTACAGCAGCTGTCCGGACATCTGAGCAAGTCAAAAACCTCCTGAGTGTGGCTTTGGGCTTTCGACTCCCCTCTCATTTTGTGGCTGGGGACTTACCCATTGTCAGCGCTGTTATCCATTTGAGGTCAGGACTCATATTTGGGATAGTTGGTTTCTATATGTTTACATTGTTTGATCGTGCTGGTTTTTACTCCACATGTTCGATATTTTCGGTGAATATTGTGTGTGGAAAAAGCAAAACCTCTCAATATAACTCCAAACCATTAGATCTGATGGAGGCACAGGGGTCATTTCGGTACACTGGACCATAGAAACCAGATTTTGATTGATGTTGATGACAGAGGACGCACTTTGTTATGATAAGCAATAAAACATGAAGCTGGAAAAGCAGCAGTCACACCCAGAGGAGCGTGGGATTCAGTTATAATTCATCCACTGAGTCAAAATCAGAGCCAGTCTTATGACTTAGATTGTAAATCCTGGTACACAGAGGTCACTAGAGATGTGCTAATATGAAGCACACAAGCATGTTTATGATCTTCTTTTTGGTTGTTATTGTATTTACATAGTTATCCATTTATTTTATTATATTACAGGAACAGAACAAGGTTTTATTCCCAAAGCAAGACTAATATATATATATATATTTTTGGTCAGATGCAGAGGAAAAAAGTGATTAAGTGTTTATTTTATGATTATTCTTGTTCTCGAAGAAGGGGGTGGATAGAAAAGAGATGGCAAAGGAGGAGAGAAATTAAAAATAACAAATATATCTATTCAGGTCCATAAAGATAAACCATGGATTCTGTTTAACAGACAGATATTTGCTCCACTTAACTGTAGGAAACAATAAGTTTGGACATACATTCACATATGTCTTACATTTGTCATTTGTCCATGTAGTTAAACACTGTACTGGCACATCTCTTTACCATTTACCTTTGACTGGTAGTAAACATACTCGTGGATGTGATCCAGTAAGTCCAACACTTCCCCTCAGGACATGTCCAGAACTTTCTCATCTTACTTTAGGAAATGACATGATTTCCTCTTTGGATTTACCTTCAAAAAGTTTTTCTCCGGAAAGCTCTGATCTTCAAGGGATCCATTTTCCCGCATCTACATAATGATTTTTAAATCTTTAATCCTGTGTTTTATTATTTAATCAATTTATGTTTTTCTTTCGTTGAGCACATTATAGTAAAATTAAAACCTGGATTTCCATGCATCCTTTAAATACAATCAAATTGAGAGGAAATGAAATAAAAACAGTCATGTGAAAATCACTAAAAGCAGTTGCTTTTACAAAGTTGTGCTTTGAATCTGATTAAAAGATAATAGATAAAAAAATATGTCTGAATTATAAGTATGAGAAAAAAGGGGGTCAGACTTTGAAGGATCTACTTTTAGATCCATGCATAATTTCAAACCTGAGGTCTAGATTTAAAGAGCAGAACTTCAACACGTTCATGATCAAACACTGTCTTTAGTATCTCTGACATTATAAAGTAGCCAGTTAATTCTCTGCCTTTAGTCATCTATTCATCTTTTGGAGAGTAGCTGCAGAGCTGCCACAACACTAACATTAACCTCTCATTCATTACCTCGGTTCATAAACTGTGTTACCATGTTATCTGCAGTGTGACCAACAGGGTGCATCAGTGGTCAAAAAAAGCTCCCACATCTTCATTCAGAGCCCTCTGACATACATTCATAAAAATATGACTGTGCTGCAGAAAGGATCAGGAGCTAATAGAAATGGAAACATGGTTTGATGAAAGTACGGTAGACGCTTCCAGGATAAATGCGAGATGGGTTCACATCTGTTGGTGCTATTAAGACACGCATTGCTAAGGGGGAAAAAATGTGAAAAAGCCAGTGCTGTTCATTATCTTCCTCCTGATACTGAATATCTTATAAACAGCACACTGTGGGGAAATGTTTTCCTTCCTTGCAATGTTTATGAGGTACTCGCACATATCATTTATTTATTTTTTTAACAGGGAACAAATGCAAGGAACATTGCTTCAAAAAAATATACAAAGTAGATGTCATGCATACAAGGTTTCCAGCCATGGCTAATTTGCAACCTCTCTCCCCGGTTAGACTTGCATGAATGAAAACAGAAATTAAAGAGTATTGAGTTTAAAATGTTACAGAAACATAGATGCAAAATCAATGCATGCAAAAAAATGCGGGACTTCATCAAAGAGATTCACCTCAACACAGAGCACATACAAACGCAGGAGGTCAGAGTCCTGTCTCCAGGTTTAGGAGGTCAAGCTCTGGTAAATCTCTTCATCAATGCAATGTCTCCACTCAAATCCAGGGACAGAGCTGAGACAAGGAGAAAAATGATTGAATGGAGCAGTTATGATAATTTGAAATCACACACAGCAGGATCCATCTTTGTCCACAGCTTTTGGCTTCATGAGAAAGATGTTCCCTGTGAACCTGTTCAGAACACAAGGACTCAAAAATAAATTTGATTTTTAAAAGCATCACGACCTTGCTGGGTAATGAAAAAGCTTTGTTTTCTATCGAGGGATAAAAGTATCTCCCGGACAGCTTTGAAGTAAATCCAACCCTGGCACATTACAAGAACGAAAAAGAAGTAAAGCGGTTCATATTTGACTTCTTTTGTTCCTGACTTTGTACATCTGTCAGCTTGACTTGGGTGTGTTTGTAAAATCTGTCTCCTGTCATATACAGTCTTTTGCTACAGTAGTAAATTCAGTTTGTGTTTACCTGCTGTGACAGTTTGTTCTGAGTCATGAATTGTGGGATAAATCATTTAGAGTTGGTCAAAAAATGGATCAGGCTGGGATTTAACCATCTATTATTGGTCAGATCCCAGTTCAGTCAGGATCACTCCCCTCAAAATAATCAATCTCTTGCATGCATTAGTTATAATTGATGGTATAGCTGTGTTGTGAGGGCTCTCTGACCTTCCATGTGCTTACCTGAAATGCCAAAGCCTGCAGCGGGAAGAGCACATCTCCCTTCTGTTTCATACATACATGAAAAGTCAAGGCAGGGAGAGCAATAGCAGCAAAAAACCAGAGCAGAACAGAGCTGACGTATGCGCATGGTAAGATCAGACACAACATAAAAAGGACGAGCTGGGGTGGAGGTGGTTGCAAAGCAGTAGAGGAGGAAGCAGCAAGAGAAGGCAGGCTGAAGCAGAAGCTGAAGCAGATGAAAAAAAGCCCTTTCTGACATTTACTAATTGAATTCGAGGAAGGTTATCAGCTGAGCAGTCAGCTGTTATGGACCAACGTGAATATCAGCAGATATACTGTGTGCTAAGCAAACAAATCCCAGCAGTGGACCAGGAATTGAACCTTTGGAGAATCACCTATTAGATATCATCACATAAACTGTAATTAAAGACTTTTTCTGTCTCTTGGACTTATGATTTCTGAATAGTTAGACTTAAAATCTCAGCAAAATAAGATTTGAAGAAGAATTTTAGAATCTTAAACATAAACTCTAGCTACAGGTTACATATGAGATGTTGAGATTTGTAATTCCAACTGAATTTCCACATTTCCCCCAAGAAACAATTTTATAAAAGTAACTGTTCAATGTTGGTGAAATTTTCTCTCCTTTTCTTGAATTTATCAGCTCTCTCATGTAGTTCTTTGACTCTGGTGTATTTATGTCCTGCCAATAAAGCAGAGAAAAAGTCTGCCTCTGAATGCTGGAGAGAGACAAGAAGACGGGTCCCTGAGGCATTGTGGTCAGGTGTGTTTACTCGAGTTTTTGGAAATATAAACACTGCGTGCTGAATTTTGAACGTATAAACCAGATCCAGATTTAACTGTGACTTCAAGCATTCAATAACCACAATAACTCTGCATTAAAGACAATTACAAAAAACAGACTTGCTGTTCAACACAAGTATTAAAATTTGTGTAAGAAGTGTAAATCAAAACAAGACCTTATTAGATTTTATATGTAACACCATTTCACTGGCTGTAATATCAGTAAATTACTGCACACCTACCCTCCTGCGTGTGTACTGTTGACTTGATACTCGCCCACTTAGAGACACTGACCTCGGCCTCACCAGTGTGTTCAGGCTAATGTAGTTTCAGGCAAAGTGGAGAATCGATCGTGTTGCAGATGAGCTACCAAGCCATGGTCAGTGTGGAGATTGTTGTGAGCCACCCTGTCCCTGCAGATGGGAGCAATTATTGCACCCACAGTGAGGGGGAAATGCACAGCATGGGAGGTTACACCAGTGTTATGTTTATATCCGTCACAATCACTGAGCACTAACATCACTAGGAGATGATTCAAATCGCCTAGACAGCTCTTCCTGAGGTTGAACTCCAAACTATCTTTCTCAGTCCAGCCCAATCTCCCACTTCTATCTATCTTTCATCCACTCATTTCTTTCTTTTTTTCTCCTCCTTTAATTAAATTACTGAGCAGAAATACAGCAGTGATGAAGCACTATGATAAGGGACAGACTCTGATAAATAATGATGCGCTGCTAATTGCAGATTTATCTGTATGCATGACCTGAATACAGAAAAAAGATGGATGTGAGATGCATGTTTCAAACCACTGTATAATATATTTTGGTATATTAAGTAGATCAAATTCTTGGAAGACTGTCCACTACTATGGATGCTATTTTTGGTATCTTTGGTTTCTATAATACGTGAGTGAAAAATGAATATTCAGAATTAATAACCCTTTTTGAGTTCTTCACATGAACACTACGCTGAAGTGTATAAATTGTAGATCTTGAAAATAAATTTGACAAGTTTTGTCTTTGCATTTTGATGTTTCTCTGGCACGTACTCTCATACAGAAAAAAACACACACCAGGTTGCCTAAAGAGGTGCAAACATACTTTTTTGCTATTTTATAAACAAATAAAAAGTTAAAATGATGGATGACATTTCTGTAAGTCGGAAAACTTTTGAATTTGAAAGAAGGCATGCTGGAATAATCGCAGACTGAGAACGTCCACTCCTTTGTTCAAAAGAAATGCACGAGAATTAAATAAGAGGATACAACTTACTCAATTTGTGACATCACTAATTGGTGTATCGTAAAAGAGCGATGTTATACACAACAAACAGAAACTGCTCAGGGGGTTTTCTTTCACACTTTTGGGGTCATATCTCATATCTCTCATGTGAAAAAAGTAACACTGATTAACTCGACGATGATGACTTTATAACATGACTTCTGTAAAACCCTTATGGTGAGCTCATAGGGAGGGAGAGGAGGAGACAGAAGCTATAGTGAAGCAATTCAAATGAGGGCTCTTTAAAGGCACACACCTGAGATAAATGTCTTTTTTTAACTGTAAATCATATAACGCTACAACTGAGGATTCAGATGTACATTATAAAGCCTTCAGATGGGCATAATACCCCCTCTTTAAGGTACCCAACAGGTTTTACCTAAGGGCTGCCAGCAGCACAAAAGCAGACATTTTAAGGGAAAGCAGATACTGCAGGAGAGCGTGGATTTAAACACCACCAATAAAATGACATTAAATGAAGCTTACATAAAGATCTAAAAAAACATGTTTTAGGAAAAACAACCCCTCAAGTCTCATTAGAAAATAGATTTATTGAGCAGAAAGCTCAAGGTTCCTTTCTACCTTGAAGGCTACAATATTAACATCAGCTCACTTGAAGGTCAGATTAACATGAAACTCAACATTTTTGTTCACAGTTCAGTCAAAACACAAGTGTTTGTTTGCAATGTATTAACAGTATATGTGCAAGACTCTCTCTTCTTTAAGTTTTTTTTTTTTTTTTCACTTGACCAATCCTGTAACTGCTAATGTTAAAGCTCGTACTTAGCTGTGGTTTACAGTTGCTTTGTGTCTGTTTTCTTCAGTTTGGTTCGTCTTTCACAGCCCTTGCTAGTTTCCGCACAAGTTTTCCTCCACTCACCTTTTACTTTCTGTTAGCTGTTAAGTCTCTGAACACCAAACTAAAGTATTATCCAAATAGCACTTTTTATAACAGAACTGCTACCCTTTATGTGGATTTATTTGCTATGGTGTGAGTGGTCTGGTGGTCTTTTTTGCTGTCACTTTTCTGAGTATCGTTGTTACAAATTCTTGACCATAAACTGTATATAGAATGGACAGAGTCTGCCTCCTTGCTGGGTGAAGCCACCCTGGGAACAGCACCCTCTGGTGACGGGCAGCAGTATAGATCATAAAACCTGCCTCCTCCAGCAATCCTTATGTAGTGGTGGACAAACTTTAGAAATTAATTACACAGAATATAAATTTTTCTCCCCCCTGGTTGCGATGTTGACATGTAGTTGTGCTCTAGTCCTGTTTTTTTTTCTGTACAGCTCTGTTTTTAAAAGTTATTAGGGGGGGTCATGTTTTCTACGATTGACACCTGATCCAGCCTATGGGCGTTTGAGCCGAGCGTCATCACAGCAACTCCTCCACTGAATGCGTGCAATGCTACTGCACAAGTGGTGGTTTCAGAAAATGGAGAAAAAACACAGAAATACCAATAGCTTTTTGGCCTCAAATCTGTATACTGGCGGAAGGGGGAACCAAGTTGTTCATAGTATATATAGTCTATGGTTTTGACTGATCATTATCAAGCTGATCGAGTATTTCCAAAGTCTTCTTACTATCACATAAATTGTAACTGAGCTATACCTTCTGTGCATGATGCCCAATACAGAGGACATGTGACTAACAAAGATCTGCTCCAAACCAAATGTCGCTTTTTTTTTAATTTTTTTTTTTAGATTTTTTGAAACTGATATTGGTCTTTAGTTGGGCCTAATGTCACAACAACCTTATGTCTTAGATCTACAGAGGATGGTTGATGTGAGGCTGTTTCTTCAAAGCTCATACATTTAATAGAAATATAAAAAAGCTTTAGCAAAGCAGCCAACCATGCAGACCACTATGCATGAAAGGGTTATTAATCAGGAGTGACACAAATGTGGAATTACCAGTATGAAAACGAGGATATCATATTGAAATAGAAGAAAAATGAATGCTCTGCTGTTATGTGCTGAATATGCCAAAAATAAACAGAAAACCACAGATGGTCCAAGACACCACATGTTTTAGGGAAAGCAGACCAGACATTAATACAGTCCTAAATGCCAGATACTGCCGTGTGTGTGTGTGTGTGTGTGTGTGTGTGTGTGTGTGTGTGTGTGTGTGTGTGTGTGTGTGTGTGTGTGTGTGTGTGTGTGTGTGTGTGTGTGTGTGTGTTTAATCCTGTAATGAGTTGGCACATATGATAAAACTGTAGTAGAAATAACTTAGGAAACCTTTCATAGTTCACTTTCTCTGAAGCCTAGAGGGCCATACACTTGAGCTGACTAACCTCCTTCTGCTCATTTACACAAAAGAAAAGATTTATTTCTAGTCCTTTACCTATTCTGGATGATGGTCCTTTCAGACTGTTTCTCTATAGGTCTTAAGTGAGCTGCATGGAGATCGAATATGTAAAGGGAAATATGGATTGTAGCGTAGATACTGTATGTATGATGAATGCCAATTCAGACTGCAATCTGTGTCCAATTCACCAAAGTAATTAGAAACCAGCATAATTATCCAAGGATAATGCAACACAGCACTAAAATGCTAAAAGCTTCGAGTATGGATAACAAGACCTCATCAAAATGTAAGAGGGTGAGCAGAAGAGGCCACAAAAGCGTACAGCCTGAATAACTTTCAATAACATTACCCTTTTCACAGATTTCTTTTGCTGTTAACAGATAATCACATAATTAAAAAGGTGACCTTAAACTTTTGTTCTCCCAATCTTAATTGGGTTTCTTGTGTATGTGCAAAACATCTTATCTGTTTCACAGATTTGAAATAAAAAAGGCTTATAGTTGAACATTAGCTTTCCTTTTGATGTCTTGCATAATTTAATCAGAGAGGCAATTAAATTCTGTAATATCTTTGCTTTTTGCTTCTGTTTATAATAATCCATCTCATTCATGTCTCACCCCCTGTTGTAGTATACATCACAGAAAATCTATCCTCTCTACTATCTCAGGGGGTTATTAATTTGTTCTTGTTTTTTTCACTTACTCTAATTCCTCCTTCCGCTACTCTTCCTTACTCTACCCCATCCTTGCACTATCCATTTACTGAGTTCAAACCCATGACCAGTGCCCTCAAATGCAGCCCCTCTTATCATCACCACAGGCCTGTATGTGCCCAACTTTTGAGTTTGTTTTACTAACCGTTTTTTGATATTAAAAAGCTGATTTAGTCTGCGGGGTAAGGAAAACATTTTATGACTGATGCCAAAACAAAATCATCACAAACACATGGCACCAAAAGATAATGAAAGAAAAAGTTTCAGGACGGTGATTACATAACGAGGTGTTATTTCAAAGTGTCCTTGGGCAAGACACTTGACCCCAACCTGCCCCTTCTGTGGTGTGAATGGGATAAGTTGAAATTGATGTTACTTTCCATAAGAGCATCTTCCATCAGTGCGTGAGTGTGGTGTGAATGGGTGAATGTGACATGTAATATAAAAGTGCTTTGAGTGGCCAGAAGACTAGAGAAAGTATTATATAAATAAACTCGATTTGCCATTTATACAACAGCTTGCATAGATAACACCAGGCATGGATTTCATTTTGTAGGTCTTTTTTTCAATCACAATTGGATTATTGACTTTTTGCAGGGATTTGAACCTAAACCTTGTTTGTGTTTTAAACAGCATACCAAGGTGCTGCTTTGCTGCATTTATTGTCCAGGTTTATCTCTGTTAAAAACATTGTTCTGCATGAATTGTTATTGAACAGAGACACTAAAAAGAAGCTTGCTAGCTGAAATAACTAGCTCGTATCAGTTTGATAGAGAAAGATCAGAGCTAACAGCTATTCAAATGACCTCTGATGGGAGGAGGGATTGCATTACTTCACATCTAGAACACTTCCCACAACACACCATATACACACCATTTACATGCGGGCTGTGATCACGGAGATCAATTCAGATAGATAAGTGCCAATTGTCGTACATCCTAGCCCTTGCTCATTTCTCTGTTATCATACTCTTTACCTTTTATCATTTTCTTATGCAGTCAAATTCATACAGATAATTATATCACAAAATGAGACAGTGAGCATCTCTACCCATATGTGTTTCCGTCAGCCTGTCTGCATCACAGTTGTACAGCCTACCAGAAATGTGTCATACTCAGCGCCCACTAACAAGACCTTAACAAGCTACCCACACACCTCTGTCTCTGCAATGACAACCCACACCCACTCGCTCCTTTATGCTCTCTCTCTCTCTCTCTCTCTCTCTCTCTCTCTCTCTCTCGAAGATTATTTTCCATCATGGTTCCATAATGATGAGGTTTAATCAGGGAAAGAGCAAGTGGACAAGGTCATGGTGATTAACCAGATTTCAGCAGAAGAAGGCCTGCTGTCATGAAGGCACCAAGGGAGACCCTTGACTCCTTTTCTTAGGACAAATGCATTATTCATCTAGAGCATTACAGCACCAAACCATCCAGAGTGAGCAGACTTGATGAGAAATCAGTGTGAGATACAACATCGTGCAGTGAGCAGTGGGTCTTTGAAATGGCAAGGATGTTACATTCTGTTTGTTTTACTTCTATGGCATCTGTCTAATGGATAGCTCTCAATATGAGACATAGTTTGTTGAGTGTATGTCAATCATATTTCCTTCTATTAAAATGCCTCCTGGAATTGCAGGTGCTGGTGCCATCAATGGAGACATTTTTCTGAGTGCAAAGTTTAAGAAGAGTTTGAACACAGTTCTATACTCAAGTACAACCAAGAAAAGTCGGTATAAAACTAGGGGAACAAACCTGCTTGTGCATTCAATACTTGGCCCAAAAAATCACTTGACAACATCTAATAATTGACTTCAGATGCTTGACTGTGCTTTTGTTCAAAAAGGACAGTCTACAAGGACATTGTTTGATGTGGAAGAAATTCATTGACCTGTAAACATCCCTTAATCCGGCAATCAGCACCTTCGGGAGGAATTAGAGCCTCTGATTGTGAGCCAGGCCCTCCAACATCAGTGCAGCTAACCTTACACTTTTGGCTGAAATGGCACAAATTACCTCAGTCCCTGTAATCTTTGTGGGAAGCATTCCCATGAGAGGCACAGTTTTTTTTTTTTTACACAGGAGAGTGGGACTCAGTACTGATGGCTGTTTTCAAGTGGGCGTCTCTATATTAGCCTGGCGGCACCAGATCAATTCACCTTGGCAAATGGGTTAGGAATGATTTAATTCATTACATCTTTCCTGGGGGCATTAGCAACAGTCGCATACAAAAGCGCCTTTCAAAGCAGTCATATAGACCTACAACCAATCATTAACGCAACGTGTGAAGTAGCTCATAGCAACAGCTCAGCAGCGTGCAGAGAAAAGAAAAACACCTTTCTTACCAACAAACTCTACATGTGCCGTCGTTCATGTTTTTTTCAGAATATGCTCTTAAGTTATCATCTTGTAAATCCCCCTGATTTAGTCATAAAAGACTGAGAAAGTGTGGTATATCTGACACAGAGGCAAATCCTTTATCAATCAATCAATCAATCAATCAAATTTTGTTTATATAGCGCCAAATCACAACAGTTGTTATCCCAAGATGCTTTCCAAAAAAGAGCAAGTCTAGACCACGCTCACTGATGGATGAATTACTAAGACCCAACCTTGAGATGGGACAGATTTGACCCATCTCATCTAACATGAGTGACAGTGGCAAGGAAAAACTTCTTTTTAACAGGCAGAAACCTTGGGAAGGACCAGACTTCCAGACAGACTTCTAGACAGGACAGACTTCTGGACTAGACAGCCACCTTGCCACTGCTGAGTTGCCTTTAAACGACAATGGTTTAATCCAGATCCACATGCTAAGAGTGAATATGAGCTGGCTGATGGGCCCGGCTATGTCAGGCTATGTCCCTATAGTTTATTAAAGTGTCATGGCTTGGTTTCTGCTGACTCATGGTAGATAGTATATATGACATCTCCAACTACCTGAGAATCTTTCAGTTTCATATTGATGACCAGAATAATGTAGACTTCTTCAGATGAGTCAGTGTCTGCAAATGGAATTCATATGATCTGTATTTGGATGAATATATAACAGGGAAAAGGTTGTCCTGTTCCCTGGAAATATGAGTCTTTGATGGAGCAATAAACAGCAGATTGTCATGAACTCAGCTCTTATTTTAATAGACAAACTGGGGGAAACCATTACAGATTCTTTCAAATGACTTGAGGCAGTTCTCCTGAATGCTTTTATCATGAAATAGTAACATGGTGTGGTAAAATCTGTTCAAGCATAAATAAAACAGATTGCAATTAGGGAGCATGTGATGGAATCTGGATTTAACATCCGTTGTGTATCTCAAAATGTCAAACTATGCTTTCATTACTTTCCTTTTGCATATCAAATGTGTTTTAAATGCTACTTCCCTGTAAAACCTTTTCTAACTTCCTCTGTGGCAGGTTTTATTTGGATTTTATTGGTTGATCTTATGAATATTTTAGCGTTCTTCAATGTTATTTTATCACTTTTTTTTTTTAACTGGCTTTTCTCTTTTCTCTGTTAATGCAACAGAAACAGCGAAAATCTTCTTATTCTTGCAGGAATTCATTCAACCTACTTTCAACACATTACAGTAAAGCGCCTCCCACATTTTAGGGAGGACAAACTTGTTTGTATGGCTGTAATGTGTTGATGATAGGCAATGTGAGTGGAAAGTACACTGTTGCATTTGAAGGTGTCTTGCTTCTGGTTGTTTTGAAGATACAGTATGTGCTTACCAGGGCTCTCAATTGCCCATTAAAGCAGAGTTCACTTTATTGTATGCAGCCTGAAGCATCTGTGCATGCCATAATAAATGAAGGACATTTTATCACAGTTTTAAAGCAGTGTGTGACTTGCACTCACTGCCAGGGCTGTCCTCAAACCAGCAACAGGAACAGGGGAAGTTGAATACATGTAGCGTGACAACAGTCCCCAAAGACGTGTTTGTAAGCTGTTAAAGCAAATTAAATGGAAATATGCATGAGTGGCACAGACTGTACTTAATTAGAAATAAAGGAGGATTCACTTATGTTTACAGGCTCTTTAAAAATTCTGAAATTATACTGCTCATCAACAACTTGCTAAATTACCAGCAACACATTCAAAGTGCCCTCAGTCCAGCGCATTATCCAAAATTAAATTGATTTTTTTACTTCAAGGGGATCTTTGTAAATTTGCTGTGACAAATTTTGCTTTACAGGAGCTAAAAATCTGGCGAAGTTTCATGACTGAGCTGTCTTCAGGCTTTCTTAATCTTCTTACGCAGCAAAGCAGCTTTTTTTTTTTTTTTTTTTTGCCTGTTACCCGACCCTATAGTTTGCTGCCGTGTACACTAATCTTTAACAGAACTGCCATGGATCAAATTCAATAAAAACTCTCATATCTTAATTGTTTTCAAACTCTTTTGAAGGAGTGTCTTTAATGTTTCACAGATTTAGTAGTCCCCTCCTCTAATGAAGGAAGTCAGACTGACACCGAAAGCGAGAATGTAACTGGCAGAGATCAGCAATGGTTGTGTTTTTTTTATGGAATAATATTTATTGATAACATTCAACATATCTTACTTACAGATATTTTTCCTAGAAGTTAACCATCACTTTACATCAACTGACAGAACGACACATCGCTTTCCCCAAAATAGATTCAGAAACAAACGAACGAGGAGAAGAAATCCCACTGAAACCATGACCTCATGCACCAATTCACCACCAAATCAATAACAGTATGGCAGTTCAACTGGTTGTAAGTACGTTTGTGCAAATACAGACTCACCTCATTAAAACAAGTAACAAGACTATGTAAAAAACAGTAACTACTGTAGAAACCCAGGAATAGCACAGACTGAAAATGTCTGTCTAAGCCTGTCGTTTTTCTCATGGAACATCATAAAAAAAGAAAACATCCATCTTTGCGGTCATTCAACATGCAACTGCTCCAGTTTGTGTCTCTCTTTTCTTTGTAGTCTAGTGTCGTGGAGTGACGTGCAGCGCCCAGCAGCACTGCTGTCCGTGGGTACAGCCGAGGCTTCAGGTTGATCGGTGCCCTGGGGTGAACTGATGCTCAAGGCTACGGAGAAGGAGGCGTCTTTAGAGAATTGCAGGATCCTCCCTGGCTACTACCTGTGGTGCCCTGGTACTGCAGAGGAGAGTCAGGTGGAAACAGAAGTTAGATTCCTGCAAAGCATGAGCGAGACGGTCTCCTGTCTTGCAGACTCATAAACAGATAAACGGTCATTAAAATAAAGTCTGAGCCAGCTTCTCTAAAATAAAGTACAAACCTCCTACAGAGTGATGAATCTGGCAGCCACGCAAAGAGTGAGTTACTTGCTTTTCATTTTTAATTTGGGTTTATTTATGTATTCCCTCAGTCACTTACTGGAATTCACCACACTGCTGTGACTTCCTTTATTTTCCACAGACCGAAGCTTTAACAGAGGAAGAGGCTTACTTGAATAAACGTGTGGACCTATCAGCGTGTTAAGACCCCCGTTTTAGCATAAGCTTAGGGATGAAGAGCTTGTTAAGACAGAGCAACTTTGACTTTATAGAAATTGGGAGGAAGTGCACAATAAATGTGGTTTCTTGAGGCTGTATGAAGATTTCAAAGTGCTGTATACTCTAATAGCCCCAGAAGAAACATAACAAGCTCAATTTCCTCTGACTCTGGGTGTCTCTTTGTATTTTGCAGGCACAGCCTTTTGATGTGTTCACAAAGACACAAAATAAAGCAATTTTTCAAGGCTGAGTGAACAGGTCGGGGCGACCATCCTTCAGCGTCTCTGTGGGACTTCTATTTCTCCACTGACAGGATCTCACTTCACTCGTCTCTCTCAGCGCTCTGCCTCATCCACTCTCCTGCAAATCACAGTCAAACTAAAGTTTTTTTCTTTCCAGGAGCATAAATTTTGTTATCGCACTAATTTGATTAGCCAAAATTTAAAGGTGAGCTGCCCACAGAAAGTGCCTTCAGTGTGGAACCGCATGTACCCACACATGCTTTGAGCTGAATCACATCTAAGCTTGGCAAGTTGAATTCCCCACATCAGATCCAAAAATGAACTTTCAGTAGAAAAAAAAAAAAAAACAGCATCACCTTCTGTTGACTTCCTGCAGGGGAGATTATAAATTCAGAGAGAGGAAAGTTTTCTAATGGGAAAGTATCCATCATGGTCCTGAGCTGCTGGAGTTTAAATGTCTCCTATCAAAATAAAAGCTCACAGCCATTACTCCATTATCACCGACCAGAAATCATTTCTTAGTCTCATTGTAACAACACGCTGTTATCAGTGAATACTAATGAGTCCTCTGTGACTTAATGACTGGGCAGTGATAAGCCTGATCACTAATTCATTTACACTTTCTCTCTGCAGGACTTGGCACACCGTGGTTTATTACTTGTTATAAAATCTGTTATGTTGCTCACTTTAATTGATTTTATTAGTCTGGTTTGTTACTAATGTAAGTAATTCATTCACTTCCTAAAGTTCCCATGATGAGTTTAAAAGTGGTTATGAAACAGATGGAAATTTATACCACTGCACCTCTATGGGACACAAAGGCAAACCAGATTATCACTATAAAACTTTAATATTACTTTATTGTTATTAAGAATGGTTGAAACTACTGATGTGAGGCAGCAGCAGGATCATTTGCTTATTGACTCTCTTTGTAAAAAGACTTGTTTTAATATTGTGATACATTTGACTCTCAAAAGAAAGCAGGATCTGATTTTGTTCTCACAGGGTTTTTACGTAATCTTGCTTTTGTCTTCATTTTCTTGACCTCTCCTATAATAAGTATCCTTCATTTGACAGCCTGGTGGCTAAAGGAACCCTTCAACCTGAGAAATACATAATTTCATGCACATTGGTTAGCAGCATACTAAAGTAACATTACCCTTCAATGCGCATTTTACAAAAGAAGATAAAGGAAAAAAAATTACAGGAGGGAGATTTTTTTAATTCCCATTTAGAGATTAAAGTCGAAATCTCAAGATTAAAGTTGAAATTTAAATAATTTCGACTTTAGTCATGTCGGTTTTAATCTCTGAATTACGACTTTAATCTTAATTTATTTTTTTTTATCTTAAAATTTCCACATTATTTTTGACATTTTGAAACTTGAAATTTTGACTTTAATCTCAAAATTAAAATTTTTAATCTCAAATTTTAATTTTTAATCTCCTTTCTGTAACTACTTTTTTTTACTCTTCATGTGGCTTTAATCCTCTTTTGTATTATTTAAAATACTTTTTTTTAAATTATTGTATTTTAATAAGAGCAGGAGTAGGTTGTTATCAGTTGTTGGTAATAATTCAATGAATTCCAAATTTTGTGTCCCTTATTTCTTGACTTTAACCTAAAGTTTATTATCATAATCATTGTTGCAATAACCCCAAAGTCTGCATAAAGCTTCATAAACCAAACACATCTCCTGTCAAACTATAGTTTGCGTGCACTTTTTGTAATATAATCTTTCAAAGACATAAGCCGCACTGTTTAGTTTTCTGTTGACTAAATTAATCTGTTGATTGGGATTGAGTTACCAACCATGTTTAATTCTCTCTGTACACCACATATGATTTGAAACAGCAAATTGTTGCCTGAGGCCCTAAACCTGCTCATGGTCAGAGCTTCAGCTGGTGAATTCTGTTTAGTACAAGCCACAGTGTATGCTCTTGAGCGTTCACTCCATGTACGTGCATGGAAACACGTGTCACGCAAGTGCCATCTCACCTCAACGAGAGGATGCCAGTGGGCGACAGGTTTTCGAGGATATGTAAGCATTTCACTCCAGTGGTCTCGACCGAGGCTGTCTGCATCGTTGCCGACTCGACACACACCGATGACCTCATTATGGCCTACACTGTGGGCACAAGGAGAGAGACAGAGGGCTGGTGTGATCACGACTGGCCCTGCTTTCCAAAAGTAATGTTATACAACATCTCAAGTGTGAAGAAATGATAAAAACTTGAAATACTTTTGAGACAGAAACAGAGTGTAAGATATTAATACTGTGCATTTTTAATAAAAAAAATAATAATTTGGTCTTTCAGTAACTTTGAATTAAAAATGACTCATGCAAAAGTGCTGAAAACACAGCAGACTTTCATGAAGCATTGTTAAAGTTTCTAACCGGTCGTAGTCCATCACTGCAATCAGAAGGCTGATCTGCTCTATATTTTCAGGGGGGACATCAAAGACAATGGCCTCATTATAGACGGGATTCAAAGTATTCCGCTTAGTTGACGTCTTCCTCTTCTTCAGTCTGCGACCATCACACATGAGTGAAACTTTCACATAAGGATCTATTGAAGAAAGTGAAACAGAACAGTAATTACACATTAATCTGCATCAGGATACCCGGGAGGCCCTGTAGATATACAGTAAGACCCATCAGGTTTTAATTACCAGATGCGCCGGTGATATCCATGGCTTTGAGATTGCGAGCCTTTATCATGGTGATGGTCAATCTGCCTGCAGTGGGCAGGTAACAGAGCGAAAACATCAGATCCCCGAGGTCCACATTATCCTGCAACACAGCACAAAACAGAGTTACTCTAGAGTGAGTCTGATCTTGGTTTTATATTCCTCCTCCATGCAGCTCCTGTAACGTTAAAAGGATGTGGGCAATCCAAAATAATGAGATTATTCCTAGTACTTCCTGTCATTACTGCAGCTAGAGGTAAAAATAAATAAGGACATGGCCGGCTGACATTTGGTTACGGAGTTCAACCAATGTTTCTGCGGAGGAAAAGTCTTTTCTGTCACATTGTACAGATAAAAGCCTCCCACATTTCAGCCAACATGGCGACTTCTGTTCAGCTGCAGAGGGGCAGAAGCTCTCTTATCACTTGCTCTTAAAATAACTCAGCGAAACATGTGAGAACCAGGAAAGTACACAAACGTGTCTGCTGAAGACAACAACTCCTACAGCAGTCTCTAGCTGATCCGCCGGTATGTTAGGAAGGTTGTGTTGGTATTTTGAGTCAGGTGCCATCTGCTATTAACTCTTAGTGCTATCATTTGTAAAGGGAAGCCTGGCGAGTCCAATCAGTGTGTGAAAATTTAAAAAAAAAAGATAGTCTGACTGATTTGATTTGCAGGAGCTGCTCCATAAAGTGTGACTCTAACACTGAGACTGTGACTTTTTTCAATTTTTAACGGGTTGAAACGAGCCAAAAACTCCTGAACTGTGAGCGAAAGGGAGAAAAGTGCAGAGCAAATTCCAGGCAACTTTAACCTTTACATAATACATGCTTTTGAGCATTATCAGGTGCACTTTTGAAGTACAGCCTTTGCATCTTAGTCTGCCTGAGCTGAACAGTACAGGCAGGTGTTTGCTAGAGAAAAGTACACTGTGTGCTTTTTTTTTTTTTCTGGCTGTGGTTGATGTCTTTACAGGTTCACCTGCAGAGAGGGAGGAGACAGATATGTCACTTTTGGCCTCACAGTGAGACAGACATATATATTGGCTGTCTGCCTGCAGCAGAGACCAGTGGCCTATGACATTTAATTCACAGAAGGCCTGCAGTAAGTGTCTCACACACTTTGACCCCATGGAGTGTATCAGAAAGCTGAAGAATTTTGCAGCGGACCTGATGCTTGGAAACTGTGGGGTCATTTCCTTCAGCTGATTAAGCATCATTGTGAAAATTATAGCTTTAAAGCTTTTCTGAATGCAAGTTGATTATACTCTGGCATTACTGAAGTGAGGACTTGTTTCTTTACGCACCTTTTTGCATAATATGGACACAGATACATTGTGCTTTTGATCGCCAGCAAAATCTCAGAAGTGAAAAGTAAAATATCCAGCGCTCCCTGCTCTAACAAACTTTGTCTCCTCACTTTTGCAAGGGAATCAATTTTTCTTACAAGTTTCAACAATTTGCCTACATTTCTAAGCATTAAGATCCTCTTCTGGGAACAGCTCTTTTATTATATATAATCTGTGCATATGCATGAATTAGCAAGATAGATACAGCTAAGGAGAAAGAAAAAGATTTCACAGCCTAAGATCCAAATCCCTATCGTATCTTTTCGTGTTTTCTTTGTTACTATCAGGATCAAATACTTGAGGAGACTATAGTATAAGGCATTTTAATATCCAGGATGGATTAACTGACAGACCCTCAAGAAATTGCTTTGAACATCCTATGAGGATCCTCTGGGTCTTGTATGCTTCATGGCCTTTGTGCCTCACTTCAGAAGTAAGTGGGAGGAGATGTATTGGTGTTGAGTTTTATGTGCTTTAGGAGCTCTTAGAGGCAAAGAACAGAATTAAAGCAGTGCAAAAATGCCACACCACAAAAACCTGAACTTGTGGCTGTATTTTCCAATTATTTAAAAAAATATTTTTGCTTGTATCCTTTCAGAATAAAAGCATAAATTGAGATGTTCAAAAACACTTTGATATTTATAGATCAAAAAGCTTTTTCATTGTGCAGAAACAGGGCACGAAATGAACGAGTCAAATCTGTCTCCAAAACAAACCAGATGGTCAGTCTCACTGTTCTAATCATGACTTCATGATAATGATAAGCCCAGTGATTATGACAAATCCTGTAAAAATGTGCCACCTCTGCAGTGGTGTCCAGATATGTGGTGCATGAGCGCATATGCATGAGAACAAGCATTCGTACAGTGTAATAGACTGTGTGTTTGTGCGAGCAAGCTGAGCAGCGTGAAAAACCCGACTGTGTGAGAATGGAAATCCTCAGTTACTGTGAATCTCTGGTTTCTATCACCACCTGTCGCGGTCCTCTCTGTTCTGACTGGGTGAGATATTGAATACAAATCAATAAATGAAGGCAAACCTGTTCGCACTCCACTCCACACAACATGAATTTGAGAGTTTACACTGTGGAAAATATCAATACTTTTATCAATATTAACATTTGCCAAGAGTCTCAATCTGAGACACTTTCAAAATAAATATCCTTGTTGTCTTTGCAACATTTCCTTCTCATTTATCGGCTCTTAATGTCTCATTTTCTCAAATATTGATCTTTTTTGACCGACCACACCGACTTGAAGCTGTCAGTTCAACACATTTTTTTTTAAAATCAGAACTAATACTGTCCTCACAGTTTAAGTGACCCTGTTACTGTCTCCACACACCAACCGCGAGTAAAACCATTTGCGCAAATGAATTACGTGTTGAGTCAATACAAAGATGCGGTTAGACGTTCACACTTCTCTGGCAGTGCAAATAACACGACTTGGGCGAGAGCTTAAAGTATCTCAACTTGAGCGGATATTCATGTCGCGAGAACTAATCAGTACAAAGGTTGCCAGGTGATGCATGAAAATGGACGGTTGTTCACTAGTATCTCAAATGGAGGACAAACTGATCGTGTTGGTGTATTGATGCCATTGATACCTTTTCTTTCAATTACTGAAAATGGAATAAAAAGGAGCTCGCCTGAGGGCAAGTGAGTGAACAGGTGGGATTACCTGGTCAATTGTAACGAAACATTGTTTATCACTTATACATGCCGGTTTAATTGGCAGGGATTACAGTTGAAATTACCTTTGACACGCAAATGAAGTAAGTAAATGCTATTCATTCACATATCTACATTCGCACAAATTAAGCGAGTAGATGATTTTACTCACGCTTTGTGTTAGCGCCTCATTAGACTTATTACTGCTTTTTATTGAATATATTCTGCAGTAGCTACAGGCTTTAGCTCTCATTACTAGAATAAATGTGAGTGTACATCCCAGTGTTATGCTTCATAGCGTTAGCTCTCTAACAAACTCTGTTAGCATGGTCACTCCAACTGTAAAAGAAGCACACTGAAATATGCATAAGCTCATCCGGTCATTCCCCATGGTACTGACCGCACACAGTGCAAGGTCATGACTTACTCTGTCCAAGACATTACCATAAAAAAGCATAGGCATCACCTCATATGTGTGTTGAGTATTTTAGTACTTAACCACACCTTCAACAGATTAAGAGATTGCATTAGGAAACAGATCTGACTCCAGAGCTGCTGAGGGTGTTGGAACGGCTAAACAGCATTAGTGCAGGAGTTGCTTCAGAGTTCAGATTAGTGTGCTCTGCTCCTGTTAAGTGAACTCTTAAGGATAATTGAAGCTGAGGCCTGTAGGAAATGGAAAGATTGCTGTACACATCGTAGGGATAAAATGCAAGCATGAAGGCAGCACTGAAAGTTGTTACCCTGCTCCTTATGTTTGTTTTACAGCTTATTGTTGTTGCAGGCTGTTAATAATTATGAAATAATCTGATTATGTGTACTAATCAATGAGCTTAACATCTTCTTTTTATCCCTTAACTTTTCTTTTGTCTAGTTTAAAGCCCTGAATAAACAGAGGTTAGACTGAGGAAGCAAAAGCAAAAAGACAAATAAATTAATAAAGATTTCTTTTTTTTTACCTTGCCTATGAATGAACTTTATTCATCTTCTATCCTGGCAACCCTGAACATGTGGAAGTGGACAAAGCTTCAGCACTCAGCAACCCTGAGTAATATGGAAAAGCTTCGATGCGATGACCTAATAAGTAAGTAAGACCACTTCCACTCAAGCAACCTTGTTTCTCCCTACATTATTTGTTAAGTCAAGATGTCAAAGATTTGTCCTTCTCCATTTGTGACCACATTTGTTATAGTAGTTATGCTCCACTGCAACTTTCTGCATTGTCCTGCACTCTCTTCCTTTAAAACCACATACAGGCAGCCAATCAGCACAGCACCTTATTATTATTATTATGGCATCTCTGTCCACTCAAAACACTGCATGGATAACGAGTTCAGTTCCTCTAAAGACAGTGAATTTGAGATACTCTCGCAACGATCTTTGAAGCGCCATTGAGGACTTTTTATTAAATGTCTTTTTTGGCGCCCCCTGTGGACAAAATTGTAATTTATTTTAGCTGATATTGTGCTGTACATGTCAAAGTTGGGCTTTCTGATGGACACAAATCTCATTAGTTTGGATTAGTGAATGTAAGGAAAGGGGTGGATATCTGCATTGACAATGGAAATAACCAACATCATAGCAGTGGCACTTGAGGTGGCCATCAAATTCCAAATTGTTTAACTGTAAAGGCACAGCATAGATCACTACATTCAAGACTCAAGTGCATACTTGGCACATTAAATGTTTATTTTATATACTTGCATTTATTTTAGTCACTTCTATGTACTCAAAACCCAGTTAGGACTTGTCAGTGAACTACTGTAAGTGGGACACAGATGCTGACTGTGTGGATGCCAAGATGGGTGATGACGGCTCTATGTATGTATGGCATGTACGGTGCTAGGAGGATGAACTGTGAGGACAGAGCAACAACATGTACACACTGGACTGCTATCTGTTTTTAAGGACTGGGAGAGACAGATGAAGATAGAAATGTATGCCATTGCTGTTTTTACAGTCTGTGAGTAGGAAGCTGTTAATAATCTTCAGCACATTGTTCGAAGCTTTCTGCATCCAAAACATTGGCAAACCGATTTTTGTAGCATCAGCAGCCTACAGAGGAGACAGACATGACAAATACAGGACTAAAGTCACACCTTAAAAAATGAATACACAAGTACAACAGCCAAATGTTAGTCTAATACAGTAAAATCAAATGAAGTGACTCTTTGCCGTGGGCATCAGCAAACACAGGAACCCTAATCAGGCAAGGAAATTGAACGACATGTCAGTTTGCAGTAATCAGCATTATAAAAAGAGTGAACCCCCACCAGCATGAAACATTATGCAGAATCAGTGATCGCTGATTAAAATTTAAGATGACTAAATTGTATTATTTCAACTGAGCAGGCTTTTACTTTTTTACATAAGGGGCCCCAAAATAGAAGCAGCAGATTGAAAGAGTTACAATCAAAGAACTACAGCTAATAAATAACCCATAAAGTCAAACTCATATTCAGACACCAACTATAATCCCTGATACTTCTGATAGACACTGCCAAACAGCCTGAAAGCGTTCTCATCTTGGTTGTCTGGGTCATCATAACTTGATAGCTGACATCTTTCTTGTGGATCACTTTGTTTCTGGTGCTTCATCTGAAATATCTGCTGCCTTTCAACTCCTCCTTTTTCTGACTCTTTTTTTTTCACTTTTTTTGCAAAATATTCTCTTTACAATCAGACTGAGATACCGCAGGATGAACTAAAGCCGGGTATTTGCAAAGTTTCTGCCTTTATCACATTTATGTACAGCTCATATAGAGCACTGTCTCAATTGGTTCCTAAAAAAAAGAATGAGAAGTTTCCTCTGGCATTTTCTGCACATATTGCATCAAAAAACTTGCATGCATGTTCATCATGCTTGTGCACATTGGACAAACACAATGTATTCATTCTAAGTATAACCCTATGGATGCATTCTCCTTGAAAACTATGTGCACACTGTTGTTTCAGTGAAGGAATACACTGCAAACTGCCTTTGCACTGCAGTTCCCAAATAACTTATTGTGTCTGCAGTCTTGCAGTAGACAAACATCTTGAGAGAACCAAAAGAAGGAACAAAATCTCCTTGGGCTGGTTATTTCACCAATCCCTCAGGTTTTCATTTACCAGAGCTGTTATAAGATCGTTCCAGGGTCTGGTCCTGTGTGTGCACACGGCTGTAACAGAATTTCAGTTTTATCAAAATATCTTCATCAGCTGTCTTTCAGATCTATTTCTGCTCTGGTAAATCAAGAATACCATCTGTTCACGATAACACAAGAGCAGTTATTCTGAATGAAAGAATAAATTACCATGAAAGTGAATATGAGACTGAAATGCTGCAGCTCTCTTACACCGACCAAAGCAGAGAAATGTGTTCACGAGTTTCAAGTCATTTAACAGGTTTGTATCTCAGGCGAAATTGCGTGCACTACATTACTACAGAGGCTATATTTAGCTAAGATTGACAGGTGGATCAGTGATGCACACAAATTCATGTTATTAAGGGACAAAGCTCATTACACTGAAATGGCTGCATTGCAGACTAGTCATTTGCATAAGCAGTGAGAAACAGAGCTGCAGGAGACTAACCTGGACACCTGCTGAGGAGAAGATTTCTTGCTTATAAGATGCACCAGAGAGACCGGCACGCACAGCTTAGTATTCAGCCACATTGTTCCACGTAGACGCCATTACTGTCCACAAATTGTGTGTTCTGTTTTACAGGAAAACCACTGAATATTTCAACATGGGTTTTCTTCACAGGGATCAGGACATCAGCTCTAGCGATGATCTTAACACTTCACTCACACAAGATACATCTGATAGTTTAACTGACCAGACAGTGACAGAGATACACTCATCAGGGCATCTGACAGACAAGGGGCTCTATTTTCGTGTCCGCCGGTGAGGCGGCGGAGGGTGGCGGACCCCGTGCAGTGGTATTTTCGTCTGCCGGAGCCCAGCATACAGCCAGTTTGGTATTTTTGTGGACTAAGGCACATAGAGGTCCGCCAAGCTGGGCGTGGTGGCGTGGCAGAGGGAGGTGTCGACAGAATCAGCTGGTGCAGTGACATTTTTGTGCTCGCCGGTGGCGTGTAAAGTGCACTGAAAGCTTGCCCATTCAAACCTGGACAGCTTTCAGCGCAGGCGGAGCGCAGCTGGTCTAGTGGTATTTTGGTAGACCGGCAGTGTATCGACATACGTCACTGATGCCTCACCAGCAGGTTTCCACAGTGTCAGGCACATTTCAGTGCAATAAATAATCAACAACAACTAATAATCTGAGTCAGCACATACGTTTAGATCTATATAGATATATTCTGATCTATATCTGATCTGATGAGCACGTTTGGCACGTGTTTGGACACTCAACCTGACCGAATCAACACAGCTGAAACAGCATCAAATTAAAATTAAATATTTAGTAAATAAACACACATGATGAAGTCAACAAGATATGTAATTCGTCTCCCTCCTTTTCTTTCTTCCTCTTATTTCTCGCACAGCTTGACCTGGACACGTCTCCGTGTCCTCTCTCCGTCCTGCAGCGGCTGAACAGATGATTTGTTTCAGTGCTCAGATGAGTTATTTACTTTAAGCCTACATAAGAAAATTATAATATTAAGTTTTGTGGGCCAAATTTATTTTATATGCCAACATCTATGAAAGAAAGAGCGCAATGCGTCATTTACGCACAGATGGTTCCGATTTTAATGCCATTATTGGAGTTTATGTTGTGATCTCTGCGCACAACCCACCTTTGTCACGTGAGGTTTGAATATGAGCAACTTTATGTGAGTGATTTTATTTGTGGAAAAGGGTGTTTGTCTTACCAGTGGGTCCAACATTACACACACCAAGTCCATTTGTGCTTATATGAGACAGTGTGAAGGCCCCCCCCTCTGCAGCGTTTACAGCGACACTTGTTGAGGGGCTGCCTTCTGTCGCCATTGTGTGACATTGCTAAAGCTATTTTGACATGTTTCAACCAAGATCTGTGCAACAAGGCAGGTAAAATTTTGTGACAACAGACGTAAAAAAAAAAAACGGTAGTTTTCCTTTGAGTCGCTGTTCTATCGATCATGTTCACTGACCTTCCTTTGAATAAAAAGAGTCATCTGAAATCAATGTCAAGAAGTCTAATTAAGGCTTCTTTAGCAATCCATGATGAAAAAGATCATTACAGCTATTTAAGCTGACGCCCTGAGATTGATATCAGTAGAGCAATAACTTGAAGAACATAAATGTTTACATATTTCCATGATTAGACAATACGATCAGCTGTGGAAGACACCACTGTAAGGTAAAGCCAAAAAGCATTAAGTAGAGATTGATTTGTGATAATAGTGAATGTGAATGTGTTAATACAGCTGAGAAACTCATAGGGATACTAATGATAATATAATATATGATCTCACCATTAACATGTCCTCATTTAACAAGAAATCATCACTCCTGGATGGAAAAATCTAGCAAACCTGTCAAGTAGGCATGGAAGAGCCCACACACACACACACACACACACACACACACACACACACACACACACACACACACAGCCAATACAGTACATGGTAATGGGCTTTAAATCCTGTTGACCTTTAGTCGGTCTTACCATGAATTTAATTAACATATGTTAAAAAATGGGTGGTCCCAGCAGAGACTGAATTTAGATAAGAAGTGCTAAATGAAGTAAATGTGTTTTTTTTTTAATGATAATGTTCTTCACCTCTATCAGCCGGAGCACAGAAATAATGGTTTTCTACTAATAGAACAAATTTTGTTTAACATCTGTTTAATATGAATGAATTAACCTCAACCCCTTTTAGTAAAAATCTGCAATGTTTCATTTCTTTAAATACATACATCCCCTTAATAATCCTCAGATTAAGAACTCATTTCAAAAAGATATTATGATTTAGTCCACAGAGAATAAAGAGGTTCTACAGCGAATACAAAAGCAAAAGTTAGTAATAATACAGACGCCTCAGACCCATCATTGGTAGAGAATCAAAAATCTGTTTTCAAAGTGAGACCTTATAACCTCACAAGCCAATTCCCTTCTTTCTTTAAGGTTGACAGCTCATAGTGATAAAAAGGGAGTCAACTTCATTTCCATATTTATACTGTCACTGAGAGACTGAGAGATTAAAGAAGGACCCATGTATAGACCAAATCTGGAGCTCTTAATAAAGTTGCATCAAATCTTCCAGACTTAATATAACCTTTGTATATTATTTTTTTTATAAAACAGAAGCCTTGTGTGGTTAAAAGCCCAAAGTTAATAAGAGATATTCTCATCTGTGTGAGCATGAATTTTTATTAGAAGTGCTGACTCACCGTGGCCATGTATTGGATTTCCCGGCAGAGCCTTGTTTCCCGTGGGAAATCTGCCAAATCCAGGAAGTTGTCCACAACCACTTGTCCGATAATGTCATGGCGTGAAAATCTGTCGAAGTCATAGACACTGAAGTGCAGCTTACGCTCAGGAAGCTCAGAATACGCCACGGGGAACAGGAAGACCTCGTCAAACACAGGGTTCAGCGTCTTGCGGTGCACCTTGGTCTGGTGCTTGGTCATACGATCGGGGAGCAGGTAGATTTTGACGTAAGGGTCAGAGGTACCAGAAAAGTCCTTGGCTGGGAGGTCCTCTGCTTTGTGGATCTTAACTATTAACTGTTCAAGGTCACAATCAAACTTCAGGATAAAGTGGAGGCGCCCACAGCCACTGCCTCTGCGACTTCCGTCCTCCCCCTCCAGTGAGCGTTGTTTGTAGAGCTCTGGTTTGAGACGACCGAGGCCCAAACCCATTCCAGTGAGGGAGTCCTGTCTTTGGAACTGGGCCACGTTGAAGTCTGGGTTAGACAGGTTCATATGTCTGCGGATGGTCCCATGTCTGTAGGCAAAAAAAATTGACATCAGATACACACCAACAAGATGGACCTGAAAAGCCATCAGTCAAAATACCTCTACTTTAAAAAGGTTCACACTGTAAAACACTGTGTGCCAATAAGAGAAGTAGAGTACAATGAATGTCGGCAGGCCAAAAGAAAGAGTGTGGTAACTGACTAATGAATTGGTGGTGAACTTTCATGCACGGTGGCCAGGGTTTATATACTCTTTAAAGGCTTTTGATTTGAATTTGCATTTCTATGAATCCACCAAGTCTTTTAATCTTCAAAACCGAACTTGTTTGTCAGAATTTGTTGTCTTTCAAAGCTATTCTAAAGCAGAAATGAGATTTGTCTGTAAAGTTAAAGTTCTAGTTCTGACTAAGATGACTAAAATGGACTTGACAAAAATCTTGTACTGACCCCATCTCAGACATGGAGTGACCAGAGGGTGGAGGTTCAGTGGTCTGTCTCTGCATACGAGGGTTGGTGTGAACCCCATTTTCCCGGCTTTTACTCTGAGCATCCAGCGGGATGTCTGGAGATGTATGACTGATCTTCATAGCTGCCTCTGGTGTGGCCATGACAGGTGGTGGTGACAAAGGAGACACAGGACCCTCCACAGACACCTCAGATGCCACAAGAGTGGGCTCTCTGGTGATGGAGCCCTGTGTTGACTCACGGCGGTTGTGTGTCGGGGGGTCCACGGCTGTGTAGACTGGCTGCCTGGGTGCAGGCTGGGAGGGCAAGGGGCTCATGGTGGGGTTGAGGTGCCCTTGGGGCTCCTTGGTGGTGGGGGAGAGCCCACGTTCCCTCCATGGTATCCAGCAAAGCTTCCAGGAGACAAAGAGGGAGACCCCAAACAGGGCCAAGCCACAGGCAGTGACCACCAATGACAGAAGACTTATCGATATATCTGTGGAGGAAGAAGAGACACAGGAACTGAGAAGGTGAAAGGGATTTTTGTTTCCTTTCTGATGTCTTCATCATTACATTCACTTAGAGATAAATGACTGTGGAAAAATACAGTCAAAATTGATTCATTTTAACATAAGAGGAGGATAAAATGCCACCGAAAACTTCCTCTATCTTTTAAATTACAAAGAACCCTCACTAGATTAATTAGGACTAACACTGTGTATTGAATTATCTTCTGAAGCTTCGAATTTGCTTCCTAAGTGGAGTGATCCCCAAGCTTTAATTTTTAGTTTACTGATAACTGAGAGGTGAAGTGTGTGAAAATAAGCTAATTTTTTTACTATCTTAATTAACATTATTATCATGGGAGGTTGAGCTGATCTTAAATACAAGATGAAATAAAAAAAAAAGTTTCTCACAAGTTGTGGGTTCTGGAGAGTTTAAGATTTGAAGTCATGCTTTAATTTTTTATTTATTTTTCTGTCTTGTGTTAAAATTGCCTCATTTCCCACATGGTCAAATATGCTTTTATTTTGAAGATTACCACTTAAGGCCAATCTATAGTTATAGAGCTGAAAGATAACAGTCAGAAGAGTGGTCAGAAAGTATTAATTTTCAATTTAAGTGTTGAATCACCTCTCAGGAAGCTGGGACAGCTAGCTCCCTTTCAATCTGCTACATCTTTGTCTGTCCTCCTTTGGGAGATGTGTGGCAACCACTTTATAGGATCACAACTATGAATTCACAGTGTTCCCATGTGCTTATTTTGAGTACAGTATCAATATTTTAATTTTTTGAAAGACATTCACCATCAATAGCGTGAGCTCTAGCTGTCGCTCAAGCAGCCCTCTACTTTCCAGAGACCTTATTTCAGGTCTATAGACTTGCTCCATTTCTCCTGCTAAAGCTAAATGAAGTGCATTCAAGCACTTTTTCCTCCTAGACCACAGTTCAATTAAAGTATGTTTGCACTTTAACCACAAGGTTATAAAACCAACCAGCCTCACAAAGTCTTCCATGAAAGTAGTTCAACTAGAAAGCCGAATGTTGAGTTATCGATCACCCAAACATGCATGTATGTTAATGTACTTGAAGGCAGCGGCAGAAGCTGTAAGTGTTGGAGTAAAGGGTGAGAGTTTATGGTTTGACAACACGGCACCAAATATTCCTGCAGAACATTTGTTTACACGGGCACAGGGTGTGCGAGTCGCCATGGAGAGTGAGGTGATGTGTGAAGCAACAGATTCATCAAGGGCTCTGTGAATCATCTCTGTTCAAATAAAGTGGGTGAATAAATTCTTTATTTGTGAGATAATCAGAGAAGCTGCCACAACACAACTGTGCCGATGTCTGATTTATCACAATACACGGTGACATTAACTTCTAATAAGATAAAGGGAATGTCTCGGCTTCCATCTGACGCCCTGTATGATTGATTGAAACATTTTATTTCCTTTCAACACTTCTAAGTAAATTACACTGTACTCAAATACAATTAAAGGATTTCAATTTGTGTGTAAATCCCTTTGCCTTCAAATTTGTTCATGATGTTATTTGGCTTTGAGAAAATGTTTTTCAGGTCTTCCTGAGCACCTAGATAAAAGCATAGCTGCTACTAAGAACATGAAATCTGTCATTGATATATCTTTAATGATAGGCATACTCTGATAACTAGGAACAAAATGAACTGAATTTATGACATAAAATAAATGAAATTACTTTGATGAGATCTGACTGAGTATTGTTTGTGATTGTGTTTTTCTGCAGGAAATCATTCTCTGCAATAATGCATATCAGATACTAGACCTTCTCAGCAAACTATACATGGTTATCTCTGTTTTAATAAGCAGTTCTCAGTTTGATGTGACAATGTGTGACTACCAAAGGCATGCGTATTACGTCTGCTGTTCCTCTTCATGTTCTCCTTTAAGAGCAAGGTGATGATTATTATAGCATATCTGACGACCAGATGACAGCACACCTGAACAAAATCCACAGCATTAAGAGCTGCAGACCACAAAGTCTGCACATCGGCGGTACTTTTTACAGGCATAAAAAGTGAAATATAACAGACAGATAGTTTGCATCTCAAAGATAATGTAAAGTATTATAAATCTTGTTCTGAACCTTATCAGGTCCTTCAGACCATCTAGAGCCAATGGTGAATATTTATAACTCTTCCTATTGCTGTGCTTACCGCAACTCTTGGTGTAAACTGAATCACCTCAACAATCTCACCAGTCTCAACATCTGATCACCATGCTCAATTCAACAACCAACCAACCTGAACATCTACTATACACCTCCAGCTTGTCTCAATAAGACCTCATCACAGGTATCTCATAGTCTTCAAAAGCAGGGCTACAATTGGTCCAAGTTAGAGCAGCTAGGTTGTTAAAAGATACTCTTTATCACAAGTCACAAACCTATCCAATCCCCCAGCATTAACCTAAAAATCTCACCTATTTCTGAGGCCATGTATGGCCTAGTGCCCGTATACAGCATTTAACAGAATCACCAAGGCCTTATTTTAGCAGCTGTCCTCTTCTAAACTCTGATCAAGGCTCTCTCTCTCTTCCTCTTTTACTGTTCAAATCCAGAGGTGATAGTGAATCAGAGTTGAGGTTAGAATTATCAGCTGTTTCGAACAGACCACAGATTCAGCACAATCTGTGGTCTGTTTGAAACAGCTGCTAAAAACTCATTTCCTTGGTTCAGCATGTCTCATAAATTCTGTTTCTTTGCTTTTTGCATGTGCATGTGTTTGTGTGTTCATAGATATCATATGTATATGCATATGTGTATATACATTATGTCTGTTTTAGAGTTTAAAAGTTGTCCCTTCTGAATGTTTCTTTATTGTGCAGTCTGTCCTGTCTGTAAAGAAATCTAACATGTTTCAAAAAGTGCTGTAATGCATGCAGTGCATGAAATGTCCAATGGGTTTTGTTTTCGATCCTTATATTCCCCTCTTTTTTATGGGTAAATCCAGATTTTTTTTTCAGTCTGCCTGAACTCACATCCAACAAAAAAAAATAAATCTATTCAAACCCGCCTGACAAAAAAACATTTTTTAAGTTGAGCCAAAGCTAAAATGAGGCTTCAACAGTCTGAGTCAGGCAAATTAAATGGGCCCCTTCCAAATCCACAGACAGAGTTTCCTCACTGAGCTGCTGGACTGTAGCTGAGGGATACTAAAACAAAGAAGGCATTTTGTTCTTGAAAATAAAAGGCAGCAGCCACTTCATTTAGCTAACTCAGCATCCTATCAGCTTTGGCTAAATATGTGATGCAGTTTTTTTCATGGAGGATAGTACAGTTATAATCACATCACAGCAAGTAAAGCGGGTACAGTGATCCCGGCAATCAATATCATCTTTCATATTGTATGAGGGGTAAGTGTGAATCTTGTTAATACATTATTTAATATTTGTATCCTTCCATAACCCCTAAATGTCATTTACCTTTGTAAATTTATGATGTTGCCTTGTGAGCCTAACATCAGCCTGATCAGTCTTCTTTTGCAGCTTGTGCTGGATGCTCACTTGAATGTTATTTATAATGTTTTTTTAAGGTACAAAATGTTCAGTTTTTACCACATTTACTCTAAGTGCTTCATGTAATGTTAGATATTCTCTAAAAGCATTGTCAGCACCAGATGGAAATGCTGCTACATAGTGACTGTTCTTCTGTGATGCTTCAATAATCAGACATTGTTTGTCTAAAATGTAAATATTCATGTGCAGGAATGAACTGTTGCCCAGCAACAACTTTTGTAGGAGGAGAAGGTGGTTTTCTTTTTTGGTTTGAGGCTGACAGGACAGGTTTGCAGTCAGAGGTGCAATCTAATTTTAATATGTAAAGAAACCAGTCCAGTCATTGATTTTTTAAAATAATTTCTTGCATTGCACATCTATTGAACAACATTTTTATGGTTATTCAGTTTATCTGTGCATTACAGTCTCAGCCTACACCTTTCTGTGTCTGGTTTATCACTGATTTGCTTTCCTTCATAACAACTGAAATACTGTATTTAAATGGCAGGACTATAGCTACAATTCTTCCAATCTGATTTTAAATGCCCAGGCTTTATCACAGTGTGATTGGCATACGTCTGTTGTGTAATCCAGACCATGCCTGTTCTTGGCTGAGCCTCATTCTGTGCAGGGACAGTGATACAGACATATGTGCTGACTGTGCAACAAGCTATTAGTCGCCTTCAGCAATAAATCAGAGGGATTATAAATCCATCTGTCTTCACTAATAGAGATTGTTATGGATTTCTTCAAAAAATTATTAATTTCAAGAAAGCTAATTACTGTATAATCAGCATGATTACATTAATCATAATAATGAGTCAAATTAAGCCATTGAAATGCTGAAACACTAATGACTGCTCCCTGAGCAACTAATCTTTTTATTAACCTAAAAGCATCAGGAGTTTATATATATGTGTGTGCTGCTGAAATAATTTAGTCATGTAGAAGACAAATGAAAATTACTTGACCCATTATTCAGACATTCTCTCCATGTTGGAAGGAATGATAGATGTGCAGAGACAGCATCAGACATGTATTTAAAAATTGAAGCTGTTTTACTTGTGCAATTATCCAATTTTGTTAAGGATTTAACAAAGCAAAACAATCAGCTGATTCATGACAGCTCCACATTAAATATTAATGGTTTGGTGAATGCTGATAGAAATAAAACTAATGATAACCATTTAGTGGATATGGTTTAAGGAAGGTCAAGATGGAAAAAGCATGATCACCATGATGCCGCCGATGATGATAATGACAAAGATTATGAGGATGATAAAGATATAAACGAGAGGATGATAATGCTGTTGATGGGATTAATGGTGAAATACGGTAGATGACAATGGTAATGTTTACAGTAATGCTGGTGATAACAATGCTGCTAATGGCAATGATGATTACTGTATATTTAATAATGATAATGATGATGATGACAATAATGACAATGATGATGATAGTGTTCATGACAATGATAATGGCAACTTCAATTTTGAAAATGATAATGATGATGCTGATGATGATGACAATGATGATGATGATGATGATGACAGCAATGATGGTTACAATAATGATGAAGATGAATAGGAATGTGGGGTTCATGAGATTGATAATGATAATAATGATAATAATGATAATGATTATACTGCTGCTGCTGATGATGATGATAATAAAGATGCTGATAATGATGATTGATGATGATGTTGGATATGATAATGATAAGGTATGATTATTAAAGGTAATGATTATTAAAGTAATGAAATTATACCAATGGATTTATGTTGTTAAGGACAAAAATGACATGGCTAATGATAATGATGATCACAAAATGATGATGTTGATGACAATGATGATGAGGATGATGATAAAAGTATTGATGGTTGAATTTAGGACATTATACCCACGGTTATGCAATTTTTATTTTTCTGCTGATGATGATGATTAGCATTATATCGAAGATGATGACGATGATAATCAGGATTATAAGGATGATAATTTTTGAGATAATTATCATCCCAGTAGATTAAAATGATGCAAATGGAAATATAATTGTTTATAATTGAAAGTAATTATGATGATAAAGCTGATAATGATGATGTTGATAATGATAATTGTTGTCTTAATGACAAGGTGATGACTACAAATAATCAGACAAAATTCATGAGAATGCTAAAAATAATGTCTGGAATGATAATGATGGTAGTGATGATAATAATGATAATAATGATGATGGGGACAAGATGATGACAATGAGGTTGATGATAGTAAAATCAAAACTGATGAATTTGATGATAATGCTGCTGATGTTGAGGTCGTTTATGATAATGCTGATAAAGCTCATTAAAATGATTACTTTTACACAGAATATGATAATGATGAGAATACTGATGATGAGGATGACAATCATGATGATCATGATGATTTTTATGGCAATGAAGAACATGATGATGTTGATAATTATGGTTAGACTGACAATGTTGACGATGAAATTGGTGAAGATGATGAAGGTTAATATGTTAATGTTGATTGTCATTTGGATAATGAAGATGATAATGATCATTTGACTTTTTATCTCCTCAAATTTCCCTTAATAATCAATGCTTTTTTTGCACCAGGATTGCCATTTTTTGGGTGAGCCAGGTCTGTGTGATTGATGATTGTATACAATCAGAGAACTGAGTTAAGCTCCAATATCATCACAAATGGCAACATACATTCAATAAGTTTTTTTTTTAAAAGGGGAGGATTGAAAATGAGACGATAAGGACCATGCATCTTGCATTATGTACATCCCAAATTCACCAGCACTGCAGGACTGGCTCTTTGTGTGGGTGCTGACTGAAGACCTCACACAGGAACTCAGACAAACGGTCCTCTCTGTGCTCGGAGATTCTGTGAATACCAGAGGATGTGTGATTTGGGAGAATAATGTGGAGAAAGTGAGGGACTTGCCATCTGAGGACACCGAGCCCACAGTTGGCTTGGCAGGTTGCCGAGTGCCTGTCAGAGAGAATCTATAGACATCTGGAAGATTCAGCGACTGCATCACAACAAAGAGAGTGTACCAATTTTAGAGCATAGGACCTTTAAAGGTGGAGGAGTGTAGGAGGCAAGCAAGTGCTGAAAAAGCAATATCTGCAACTTCTACCTCTGAGAATCTATTTGCCTTAATATTTCATCTTTGAGAGCAAAAACGGATTTATTGGAAATGCTGGTATTTGAAAGTGTTTGTTTTATTGCTGTAGTTCTATCAAAATGAACTATGAGGCACACGCACAAATGCTTCTGAATAGTGTTAATAAATGCTGGTTACTACCTGCACAGAACATTAGTTCACTAATTGGATGGCAACGAGAAAACAGAGGCACAAAGCCAACTGGTTTCTGCCATGAGAAATAAAAATCTGCAACTCTAAAGCTCCTTGAATGGCACCTTTATTTTCATTTGTTTGAATGTCAGCCTGAGGTTTTAAGAGGTTTGATGATGAGTTAATGTCTTCACATTATTTAGGAGATGGAACAGATCTGATTTGGCCAGGACTTTAAAAATCCAAATGCACAACATTAATGTTAAAATTTTGTGTAACCTGGGTCTTTTTACATACCCCAGTGAGAGGCTGCTGTGTTTGTTGAGTATTCAAAAGGATTTGTATTAATCAAGAACAACCTGTTACAACTCATTAGCCGATATTGAACTCAAATGAGACGTAACTGTTAATCTGTACACCTAGTTTTGTGTTTTGTCTTCACCATGAGGCTGCCAAGCAATTTTCAGACAGTCTTTTCACACCATTGTACTCAAACCCCTGTAAAACCCCAAATAGATGTTGTGTACACCTTAAAGAGAGTCTGATTTGTCATCCCTCATTTGCAATCAATGTACTAAGTTAAGCACAAGAGCTTCCGGCTTCGGCTTCATGAGCTGCTTCTCATCACATTAATTTGTGCATCCTGGTGTCCTCACTCTTCAACTTACCCAGAAATCATTCCCACTCCGCCATAATGAAGGGTTTTCCAATTTCTTAAATGCACCTGGAGGAGATGAGGGTTGAGGAAGGGAGAGGTTTCTAGAGGAGCTCTGAGCAAAAACACTCAAGTGATATATAGTCACACAGCTCTGTAATGCTATAATATGTATTAGTTCTGCAGGTAAAATTAAGACCACAATACCTGAGACTATCATGTTAATTAACGGCAAAAGTAACACCTCTACAAATCATCTACACAGTTGAAAGGAGGTTAGCTGTAGAAGACCTCTGATGACCAAGATATGCATCCATGTTTATATGAAAGACAACGATTTGAAATAGTCCATAAATTATGACTTTCTAAGCACTTGTGCAGAGAGTTTAACAGGTGAAATGGCTTTGCAGCTCCTCATCAGTGTGTCTGGAGTTGCTGCAGACTGATTCTAAGGTACTAAAGATTTCTCAATCGGCAATCTTTCTTCCTCCACCCTCGAGTCCCTCCCTTCAATCTCTCTTTAAATTCCTTGCAGAGAGGAGCTAAGAAGTAAGGACACAGTGTGAGTGGGGGATGCAAGGAGACAAATTAATGAGTAAGAAGAAGCAGCTATTGATCCTCGTTACAGTGCTAATGATTTTCACATTCAACTTATCTCATTTACACAAAGTCCAAACGTAAAAATAAAGATGGTAGATGTTTGGTGATTAATCTTACACTGTGTGTTCGTGGTTTTTCTCCAAGTTTAATCCTTTTATTAGTCTTTCTACAACCAGACAAAACTGACAACATGGTCCAAAACACATCAAATCAGAGTTAACATCATGGTTTATGTCCAGGATTTTTAAAATTCATGCACGTTCATGAGTAGCACCAGCCCAGCTTTAGCCACCGGTAAAATGTGCAGGACATCCCACCTTTAATCTTCCATTATTTTCTTCTTTGTCACTTTATTATTACTGTTGCCATCATGTTGGGTGACACATGTCAAGTGTAACTGAAATTAAAGCTTGTGTTGCCAGCCACCCTGATAGCTAACTCCAACACAGCACCAGCTATTGCAATTCCACTTTTCAAACTGTCAGACAGGATGGGCCAATGATGAATGAGGGCAAGAGGAGAGGGCTGGGAGATTAGGGAATTGAGGAAATAAGGAGGAAATTGGAGGGTTAGGTTAAAGGGGAAGGCTGAAGAGGGGGAGCAACGGAGGACTGGTAGGGTATTTAAATAGATTAATTGCAAACTAATGGATCCACAGTCATTGGGGTGAGGCACTGTACCTGTAAGCTTGTTTTATTATATATTATCTACCTGGAGATTTTTCTCTGCACACACACTGACACAGGAGGACGAGCACACTCATGCAAGTGCACACATGGCATTTTCATAGAGGTTGTTCGCTTAAGTCTTTGCAACGATGAAACGTGACTCTTTTGTCACATCAATGCTTCACCTGCTAAAAATGGTTTTAGCTCGTGTGAATGAATAAGTTCCTCGTTTGTGCATTTGTAAGGCTAAATCTGGAGTTTAGGAGTGCCCCAGAGTAAATGTTTGCATTCATACTTGAGAAAGAGTGTTAATCTGAGGTCAACTTTCAGAGTTGGAGGAAACAGTAGCTACTGCAAATGAAGCACGGATGGAACCGGCGAGCGCAGGTTTAAGCGTAACTCATTGAGGGAGATCAGCCTGTACACCCACTTCAGCACGATGTGTCACACTGACTTCACGACATCACTGCTGGCATGTGAGCACATGTAGGAAGAGTGAAGTGGCCCTACACTAAAATCATACATAGATTTATCCTCATGTAATTAAATTTGATTTGATTGCACAAAACAATTATAAATCTTGTGTTTGGACATTTGATGAAAGAAGAGGCTGCAGCTATGTAGGCGCCTTGTCGTTGCATGATCCATTATATAATTGAACTGGATAATTAGTGGGCTCATTAATACAGTGCAGATTGAAATCCAGACAAAGCACTTTGGTTTGTGTTTTACCCAATCACTTGGACTCCCTGCTGAGTTTATGGAGCAGATTAGAAAAAAAAAACGCGCGTTCACCCCAGTGTAATAAAATGTACCCATAAAATCGAGCATGCACATAATCCCTCACCTGAATCTGAGTAGCGTGGCCTGGCGAGGTCTCGGAAATAGTAGATAAAATCCAGGCAGTGTTCGTTTTGCACTTCCCCCTTTGAACAAAGATCTGACAGGAGTTCAAGTGCCTTTTGACAAATCTCGTCATCTCTGTCTCCAGGCATTTCCCACCAGCATCCTTAGAAATGAAGGGTCTCTTAGGCACCACCAGCAGCACCAGCAGCACACCACTCCGCCCGCCTGACAGTCACCTATTCCACGCTGCTCGGCACGGCTTCTGGAGTCGACCACTCATCCAGTGGCACGCCTACCCACACGATGGAATCGACAAAGGCGCCCTGTGTGAGGAAGAACGAGAGAGAAAAAAGTCCGAGTGATCCGGAAAGCGAGTAGCGTTTCCCACATGTGGAGGCGGATGAGTTTTCTGGGATCATTTAGTTGAAACTGTCCCCTTACACTGCTGCTGCTGCTCTGGTTAGAAGCCACCGGTTGAATCCACACATCGCCACTGCGGCGCCGTGCGCTGTCCGAGGTGCTGAAATGTGTGCGCGCTTCACTGCCGGACTCTCGCGCACTGAAGGAGGTCTAGTCTGGTCCGTTTTCGTTAATTTCCAAAGTATTCACGTCGTAAAGGCGTCAAGTTGAGGGAAAGTTGGGGAGAGCTGCCCTACCTCGAGAAAAAAAGGGAGCACTACAACCTGTAGCAAGCGCCGATCACTTCTCCGTTCCCACGAACCTGGTGTGGTTTCACGTGCCCGCCTGTGGCCAATCAGAATATGGCATGATTTCTCTTTTTCATTCTGTGAAATTATTAATATCACACATGGAAAAAGAAAGAAATTACTTAGAGGCCACTCATATAGTGCTGCAAATATTGAATTGTTTCAGACGAGCCACTTCAGGTAGGGCCCTTTTGTTCCTGTTGATCCCCAAATTGGATTTTTTTATTTTTTTTTTTCCAAAGAGCATTTCACGTCGTGTTCCTGTAGGGACAACCCCGGCTATGTATTCAGCTGCAGTGACATTCACGATTGGTCTTGCCATACACTGAACTAATGAGAAATTAACACCGCGCATGCCCGCAGAGAAAGAGAGAGAGGGCGTTTATTTATCTCCCTGTCTTTATTTTTATCGTTACTAATCGTTTGTGAAGAACTCGGGGCATAATTATAATGAACAGCTCCACATATTTCTCAGGGGACAATCAATGTCAATATCTCAGAGAGTGAGCTTTGTTGTGCTGTCATTCCTGTAGTGCGTAAGCTCAGCCGATCAGTAAGTAGTCTTTCTGAAGGCACACAGTCAATTACACATTCATCTCGGTGACTGACAAGCCCCATGATGATGCAGACTCGTTGGTTACAGGATGCAAATCATTACACTATACTGTTACAAGTAATAGCTTGACTGTGTGCAGCAAAACACAAGTGAAACAAGGCAGTTTGTGACACCCAGCATACAAAGACAGAGCTGTAGGCTAATCTAGTATACAGCTGAGATATGATCTCCTGTGTGATATAATTTGGCCCTTTGATGTTATAGTCAAGTAAAGAAAATCCTTAATGAGGTTGCTGGAAAAGGGGGTTCAAAGAGGGAGCCAGTAAAGTGTAAAAGAGTAACATCACTTCCTTATGTAAATATACTCTTATTTATGTTCCTGCACTCCATGACCCCCTCACATAGTGGTCATTTCCAAAGAGACAAACAGAAAAGTAAATACTGAGAGAAAAGGGATGAGGGGATTAAAACATGACAGATAAGTGGGTTTGCTGATTTTCATGCTTGTTCCACTGAGAACAAAGCCCAGCAGTCATCCCGCATCAAAGATAAACACAACTTCTAATGAGCTGTGCCCTGTGTGCGTTTATCTTCTTGTTCCGCTGTCTTACAATTGGCATGGTGTACTTTCCTACCTTGTGATAATGAGAGCCTAGCAGGCACCCTGACAGATATCATCTTCACACAAGAGAACATGTGATTGTGGTTAGCGTGCTATTCATGTAAAAGTGCATTCATCTCCTTTGAGCGGTTAAGGAGGAGGGAGTTTTTAAGTGTGGAGACAAGCAGGAGATTGTGGTTTTAACGGCACTAATGTGTGGAAATCATGTGTCTGTGCATGTGTTTTCCATTCAAAAAAATCTTCACACAGCAGTAAGTCGGCTTCCTTGGTGTCCATGGCAACTGTGAAATACTGAAGGCACTCTTCGCCCATTTACTTTCTTCAACTCTTATTCTGTCAGCCGCTCTCCTCCACATCGTCCATTATAACGCTCCAGCATTTTTAACACCTCCCCCACCTCCATCTCTATTTTTATTTTCATTTTCATCTTCCCTCCTCGCTGTCTTCTTTCATTACAAACTACATCCTATTCCCAATCATTATTCTCTCTGTTCCTCTTTGTGTATCTCTAACTCATTTTCTTTTGCTCATAGATCCATGTATTTTTCAGTTTACCAGCTGGTGTGCAACAGATCAACTACATTAGGCCAGCATGCTCGACAGGATGAAATGCCAACAAGAGAAAGGCCCACAGTCTCTCATTACAATGCACTGACTCCTTCCTTTTAAGTGCTCTGTAGCTGAGTACACAGCTCATTCTAGCAGTGGTAAAGTCGGATGAGGATGGTGATTCAATCTAGATAAAGGAAAAGCGAGAATATCCTTTTTTGGGTTTCCATCAGAAACTTAATCTTTAATTCATGGAGTGCACAGGAATTCATGACTGTATTCTCAATCTAATACCCCCATGGGCCTAATTTGAACCAGCCAATAATTCTAGTCAATAAGTTAATCAATAAATACTTTTAAATTCATCTGTTTGTTTTAGTAGTCAGGCTTTACTCCTTGGATAATGATGATTAATAGAATATCTCTTCCAAAGAATGGCATTAGACTTAGAAGACTTCATCAAACAGTCATGTAACGATAAGTTTCAGGGAGTAGGTCGTCTCATTAGCATGTGGATTGTATGGGATATGATGTGACCATAGACTGTATATACTATGGACAACTTGGTCCCGCCTTCTGCCAGTATATGGATTTGAAGCCAAAAAGCTCTCGGCAATTCCGCGTTTTTTCTCCATTTCCTGAAACCTCCACTTGCACAGTAGCGTTGTACGCATTCGGCGGGAGAGTCACAGAGAGTCGCTGTGATGATGCATAGGCTGTATCAAGTGTCAATCAAAGAAAACATGAACCCCCTGGTAACTTTTAAAAATGGAGCTGTACAAAAAAAGAGGACTTGAGCACAAACCAGTCTTACAGTAATTCTGATTAATAAATTAATAACGTTTGTCCACAACCCCATAAGTATGGCTGGCGGAGATGGGATTTGTGACCTATACTGCAGCCCGTCACCAGAGGGTGCTGTCCCCGTTAATACATTAGGAAACTAATAATGGAGTATTGAAGCCATTCTGGCTCTGCTGATTTTAACTTATTTGATAATCACCCTGTACAGCTTGCCAGAGGCAGTGGTGAAATCAGAGAACACCAGAACCAAAAATGTCCCAGTTTGCTTTTAAAGAGTGCATGGGACCCTACCGCTATGACTGCCTGTGTCTTTGTAAATGTGATGTCTTGAAATGTTTGCTCTTGAGCAAACCCATGCATCACCCTGCTGTAGATCTGTCCAGCTGGTACATATCTGTCTATTTTTGCCAGGTTTACCCCAAATGTTGTTACAAGCATCTTCTACAGTGAGCTAGTGCAGGGCATCACTAGTAATAGATAAGGACAGTGTTGCCATCAGCCATTAGCAAGAAGGGAGTCTAATTTCCTTGTTAGACATCTCAGTGGTGGTAAGGCCATTTCAGCAGCCCTCTTCCTTCTGGGTCTGACCAAACGGCAGCCTATGGTCTTGAGAAAGGACGCAGATGTGAAAGTGCTAAAAACCGCAGTTGCTCGAGTGATTACTTGAGGCTAGCTGCAGAAGCACAGGGAGCAACATACACTCCAGTTCAGAGGAGTCAATCATTACTCTGGAAATAAACACAAGTTTAAATACCAAATAAATACCAATAAAGCCAAGTTTAAATACTGTTTTTGCAGGAACTGACAAGCAGGAATATTGTAGTTGTTTGCAAAGTGGCCAAAGCCTCAACTCCACCTCTTTGCCTCTGGTTAGGTCACTTGAGAGTTTGGTTGAGTCAGCTTTTCCAGCAAGACAACCGCCACTATAGGCTTCAAAACTCTGCTGCAAAAACCAATGGGCAACATCACTTAGACTACACCAATGTTTTAGAAGACACTTCTCTTGGGCTGCATGGCTGTGGTAATGACTCCTTGAATACCAAGTCTGTGCAGTTTTTTTGTGTGTACTTAAAGGAGCCACGTATGCCTGGTTTCCTCACATATGGAGCTGTGTGGAGAGATAGTCTCAGGGTGACAGAGAGAAGTAGCTAATGACTGTATCCTTGGTCCTCCGAATAAAGAGTTGAAGAGCACATTTTTCTATTTTCAGCAATCTGGTCCAATCAGTGTAAACCAGTAAGTCCATATGTTTCTGTGGAGACACCGAAGCATGAGCCATATAGTGGCAGAAAGATCTACGCTTTGTAACCTGTGGGGTTTGTCTTTGGAATTGCATTGATTTTTGCTGCAAGTATTTCTGTGCCAAACCCCAGAACTATCTGATTATATTTGACTTGACAGGAAATTGAACTCAATTAATTATGTAAGTATGACGAACAGTGGGTGACACAGAGGAAGACAGATATGGAGTTTTCTATTCTTTGTGAGTGCAAACATGAGAGGGAGAAAAGGAGGCACTGCTGTTACAAATGTATCCATCAACTGCAGACGGGGGAGAAGAGCACTGAAGTGACTAGATGGGTGTTGAAGAGATTCATTACTTGTTATTTTCCACAAAATCTCACATCTGCTGCCCAGGCCTCTCAGCATTCTTTGAATCAAACAAAGTGTGGATCGTAGAGGAGCTGAGCTGAGAAGAGGAGGAGGAGGAGGAGGAGGAGGAGGAGGAGGAAGAGGAAGATAGGATGGAATTCTCTCTCATCTCAGCTGCTCTTTCTCTGCCTCTATTTTTCTCTATGGCTGAAAGAGAGGCCTTGAGGGTTTGAGCATCGGGTCTCAAAAAACAAAGCCACAAAGGCAAAGCCAATTCAAGATATTTTGGTATGTGAGAGTGAAAGAGAGAGACAGAGTGTGATAGAGAGAGTGAGAGAGATCCCGCTGTGTGTATGAAGACCAGAATAATGTAGGGTGTTAGTGTGTGTGGGGGGAGGGGATAAGAAGGAAAGACAGTAAGTAAGAAAAAAATACACTCAAGCTGTATACAGGGATATATATTCACCAACAAAGACAACAGAGGGTCTTCAGACCGGGATTTTGTGGTGTACATTCATCATCCGTGGCTCACAGCTGTGCTCTGAGTTAAAATTCAAACAGAGAAATGCTTACATTGTTGCTCTATTTAGAGTTTGGAAGTCTGACCCCACCTTAACGACAGTAAAGTGCTTTATGCTTTTTTTTTTTTAAAGTACCCCAAAATGAATTTAAAAATACACTAAAAATTTGTTTGCAACATGGTTTCAATCTGAAATTCTCTTCAAAGGTCTGCTTTTTTTGTCCCTTACAGCACACCATAACTAAACTGCCACCACTGCTGCTGCCATGATGAAAAGTAATGACACCACGTTCTTATTTGACTTTAAAAAAAAAAATGCCAGATGACACTGCGGATAAGGCAAAAATGAATTTACTTTGTGTCAAACAGGGTTATATCGCCAAAATACCTCATGTTTGAGGTCTCATCTAGAAGCTTACAGGTGCAGCTGGTCAGGCTAGTGTCTGCATCACCAAAGCAAACCATGTGAATCCCATCCCTGTGAATTGCCTCTGACCTGCAGGTAAAGCTGAATTGAAGAAGTAACTACAGGGCTTACTGAATGGGGGGGCAACATCTGAGTGATTGCAGGCCAGTCAACACTGTGGTTGACTCATTTCTGAGGGGTGGCCTCAGGTTGGCATATTGAGGCCAGTCACATGCCTTACAGTTGGAACAACACTGTCATATATACAGGACCTGTATGAAACAG